AGTCGACTTTGCGGCGATTTCTTTTCACGATTTTTAATTTATTTTGACGTATTTATCATGTTTATATAAAGTAAGATAAAAGTTTAAATAATTCGCGAAGATTTATTTTTTTCTTAAAATGTCCTGTACCAAGTCAGGAATATGGCAGTTGTTATCACATACATATCATAGTCCGTTGTTTCTATGTATGTTGGCGTTTGTTTTTGTCATGTTTGTAGCAGTTCAGTGTTTCTGTTGTTCCGTTTTGTTTCCTCTTATAGTTGATGTGTTTCCCTCAGTTTTGGTTTGTGTCCCGGAATTGTTTCAGTTAAATCGATTTATGACTATTGAACAGCGGTACACTACTATTGCCTTTATTTATATTCGCGTTAATTTTCAACTCGCGAAAATAAGTTGGTTAAAAGTATGTCATATTGGTAACGTGACAAAAAAAAGATGAGTTCCAAACTGAAGGATATTCGAGCTGGACATCGTGGTGCCGTAACAAAAGCTGAAGCAAGTAAGCGCACATTTCCAGGAGTTTTTACAGGAATACATGAATGAACTTATGTCCACCAAATAGATGATACGGAAAATGAAACAATACTCCCGGAACTCAACAATAAAATTGTGAAAGAAATTTCGGAAGAGGATGTTGAAGAAGAGATAGCAGAAGCCGACAGGTATGCATTTGACACCCAATTAATTGAACAAAATTAGCAAGTAATCTAGGAAGCAGACAACACAACGAGTCAACCCCAATCAAACCCACATGTAACTGAATTGACACTTTGAAACAACCATACACATCCAACTCAATTTAGTTTCACAAAAGCGAATCAATCAGCATCTACATTTTTAATCTTCAGTATGTACTATATATTTACAAAGTTTATCCTACCCACGTTCGGAGGAAATATATTAGAATTGCAGCCATTTTGGGATTAGTTATATGCAGCAGTTCATGAATTCTTTTCCTTAAACGACGTTCCAGATGTTTGACTACTTAAAGACTTCATTGTAAGTAGAAGCAAGCCAGTGAATCTCAAGACTACAAATTACAAACACAAATAACGTCCAAGCCCTACATGTATTGAAACAGAGATTGGGTCAACATCACAAAATTGTGAATGCCTATATGCAAAGCCTCATTATTCTACCAAGTCTATCTGCAAATATTAGAAAGCTAAAGAATTTTAGGACTGTATCACATTCGCACGAAGCTTTATTCATTACCCTATTCAAAACTTCATTCTCTGTACAACTTATATTGAAAACCACTGTTACAAACCCCAATTCAAATCAATACAAAATTACAGCTATTATCTCGGATATTGCTAGTCATAGACTTTTCATACCAGTTTGCATTAGAAAAGATGAAAACGAGAAAAGATCCTTTCTAAAACTTTCCTTTGATAACAAAAGTATCAATGGCACCAACTTGGACAATATCCTTCATCATAAATAAGTTTTCGAAAATACCTCCCTATTTTAAAGATCAGTCTGTACCTATCATTTCTTATACCTATACCAAACCAATTGGAACTAAATTTTTAATTACATACACGTGTTGCAGGATCTCAATATTGACGAATTCAAGTCTAAACCTCCTGATTGCACTTGTGCTTGTTCCCCATTCATATATAATTCGACTGGCCACGATATTACTGGTGACCTAAACATTGTCAATAACACTCCTCTGCGAAATGTGTTAAAAAAAAGCCCGAAATATCGTGAGCCTAAATCCATCAATTGGAAACACAACTTCAAAATACTGATGGATTCATTCGAGGATTATGCCAGGCAATGGGTTAAACGCAAGAAAGAAGACGTACATGTAGATACTCTTTCCGAATGGGTTAAGGCTGTGAGGTCGTTGATACAAATCAGAATTAAAAACTGAATGAGTCTATGAATACCCATGCTACATCAATCTTTAAAGACACAAACGTTGCAAAACACCTGTCCTACCTCCATGACAAATATGTTATTGTCTCCGCAGATTAAGCCATAAACAACATCGTTTTGTGTTTAAATCACCTTACATAAACTGCTTGACACTTAAAATTGAAATTCAACAAATACCTCTACGACACTTACCAAGAAGGAAATTCTAGATACTCATAGGTATGTTCTATGTTCTTTTGGAATTTCAACCAAAGATGCAGAACTGGATCTTCCTTCACTGTATTGGATACCTAAACTACATAAGTGTCCTAACAAACAACGTTATATTGCTGAGTCTTCAAAGTGCTCCACGAAACCTCTTTCTAAGTTATAAATATCAATTTTATCAGCAACCAAAGCCGTTCTACAAAGTTATTGTGAAACTACCTATTCTAGAGGTGTCGTAAATCAGATGTAGATACTTAAAATTCCAAAGATCTTTCTTTAAGAATACATACAATCTAAGACCCTTTCATCTTGCAATATTATTAAAACATTTGACTTTTCTACACATTACACAAGTATTTCCAATTTCAAACTAAAAGACAAATTGAAAGAGATGGTTCTGCTTTGTTTCATAAAAAAGAATGACCAACGTGAATACAAGTATCTTGTCTTAGGGAGAGATAAATCATACTTTGTAAAAAGAATCACTCTGATACTAACAAACAAATCTATGAAACTGACATTATCAAGATGCTTGATTTCTTGATTAACAACATATTTGTTACGTTTGGAGGACGTGTTTTTCAAGAAATGATTGGCATTCCCATGGGAACCAACTGTGTTCCTCTTCTTGCCGATTTGTTCCTTTATTCATACAAGGCTGACTTCATACAGGAACTTTTAAGGAAGAACGAAAAGAAGTTAGCAGTATCCTTTAACTTCACTGTCCGCTTTATAGATGATGTTCTCTCAATAAATAATTCAAATGTTGGTGACTATGTTGAACGAATCTATCCCATCGAACTAGAGATAAAGGATACAACAGATACAGTTAAGTCTGCCTCATATCTTGACTTACATCTACAAATTGACAATGAGGGTCGGTTTAAAACAAAACTTTACGACAAAAGAGATGATTTCAGCTTCTCAATTGTGAACTTTCCATTTCTATGTATCAACATTCCAGCAGCGTCTGCATACGGGGTATATACCTCCCAGTTGATACGAAGATCAAGGGCTTGTATTTCTTATCATGATTTCCTTGATAAGGGGTTACTGCTCACAAGGAAGCTATTAATTTAAGAGTTCCAAGTGGTGGAGTTGAAATCATCCCTTCGTAAATTGTATGGGTGCCTTCACGAGTTATGAAATATCTGTTTCACAGATGACGACGGATATGTTCCAATTGTCGTAACTACAATCCCGTCCCGTTTTCTCCGAATGTGACCTACGAAATTAGACTTATTCCGGGTTTTACTTACATGAGCAAGACGACGGTTACCACATGTGGAGCAGGATCTGCTTACCCTTCCGTAGCACCTTAGATCACCCCAAGTGTTTGGTGGGGTTCGTGTCGCTCAGTCTTCAGTTTTCTTTGTGTTTTTGTACTGTTATTTGTCTTTTTTTTCCCTTTTTTTGTCATGGCGTTGTCAGTTTATTTTCGACTTATGAGTTTGAATGTACCTTTGGTATCTTTCGTCTCTTTTTTTAATTTTTTTTTTTCATATTCGAGGTTTTGAGGGAATTGGACAGACACGAGAGCCTTCTAGTACCAATAATCTTAAATATATTTCCCGGAAACATCCTACAAAATATGGTACACGTTCACGGAAATTACAGATGGAATTTACAGTTGCTACGAGACGCATTCTGCTTGAGATTACAATCCAAGAAGCAGGTCAGTGAGTAAATTATTACGAGTTAGAAGTAGAAGTTACACCTGCTTCGACATTTATATAACAAAACGAAATTTCGATTCAAATTACTGAAATTTAACCAGCAAACACTGTATATATTGTAATGCCATTTACGCCCCAACTGCATAATCATATGAAAGTTAAACTTATTAATGAGAAAAGGCGCGCAATTAATGAGAAACAGCTATGTTTTATTTGTTTGGGAGTCACAGAGTTGCACACTGCAAATCGAAGAAAACCTGTAAAAATTGTGGAAAACGACATCACATAGGTATTTGCAACAAGAAAGAGCAGGGTACGCAAAACAAAGCAAAAACAGAAACGGGAGTTTTGAAAAAGATGTTCATTTGTTTATTTACATGTGTGTGTGTTCGAGTGGTTCATTTAGAACCTGTTCCAGATATGACACTTGACGCTTTCATGTTAGCATTTAGATGCTTAGCCAGTAGGAAAGGACATCCTAGTATAGTGTTTTCTGATAATGCCCTAACTTTTTTTGGCGGGATGTAAAATTTCTCGGGAGCTGAGCATTTAATTGAACTGGAAATTCCTCATAAGAGCAGCACCTTGGTATGGTGAGTGGTAGGTGAGACTGATCGGTATAACAAAGACAACATTGCCAAAGTACTGAAAATATCCCAAGTTAATGCGGATGTGTTACAAACAGTTCTTACGGAGGTTAAAAGCGTAATAAACGATCGCCCAATAACGTTCCTTTCGCAAGATATCCGATATCAAAAGCCGTTGAGACGATGGACTTGTTCGTGCTGTAAAGATTCGTACATCAAATGGACTGATTACGACACGGCCAATTGATAAACTAGTCCCACTTGATTTGAGAACAGTAAACCCGTTTTGAGCCCCCCCCAGGAATTTTGTAAATTACTTTTTTTATATACATTTTCTTATAATTTGTAAACGTATTAACTTCGTTCAGCGCGGTAATTACGTAACAATATCTTCGACGTCGCTTTTTAGGGACGATATTGTGATCATAAGTAGTTTAGATAAAGATGTCTTTCTGTGAAGACACTCTTTATTATTTCATTAGTATATATGTCATAGTTTTCAGTACGGCACCAACCTTACCGAAACGTTCCGAGTACTTACTTCACGGGTATTTTAATTTCATATTGTCATCATGCTGATTTGTAAATTTGGCACTTTAGTGGTATATACACTGTTTATGCTTATGATATTAAAAAAAAAACCTTTAGTTTGGATTGTTTTAATAACACAAACAATATAATATATCTTCCAATGGTTACTTGTTTCTCTCATCCATTGAACGGACGACAGTTCGATCCCTGTAGAAAAAGAAGAACAAAAGGAGTAAGTCTTTATTTATTTTTATTATAAATTAAGTGCAGTTGTATCGTGAGTAGTATTTCGTTTCAATATTTCACATTATGATCACGTTTTAGAGTTTACTTCCGCACATCCAACGAGTAATTTGAAAACAATACAAATATACAAATAATACATTTCAAAATGATACGAAAACGTTTCAGTTTATATCTACAATAATTAAATAAAACTTTAAAGCAGACAACGTTTTGTAAATGACCTTGACAAAGTATGTTAGCAGAATGAAGGTAAATGTATGCAAACTTCTTGTTACAATTGCCACGAAAAGTTTCAGCATTAAGAAACATTCTTTGTGCAATATCTTTGAAAATTGACATACTAAATTTCAATCAATTACATGTATCAAGACCATGAAAAATGACAGCATAAAATGTTATAAACACCATGAAAAGTGCCTGTTTAAAATGTTTTCTCTAATTCTTTTTCATAATAAACCTTTCAGGGCACATTGTGTAAAAACAATTAATCAACGTGTAGTTGCCGATGATCTCAGTAAATGATTGGTTAACCTAAAAGGTCATAACTTTTTCAGCTCTCAGGATGAATATTATGAAAAAAAAAAAAAGTAAAATCACAAAAATACTGAACTCCGAGGAAAATGAACGGGTGTTAGAGAAATTGACATTTTTATAAAAACTTTTTCTACGAGGAAATACTTACACCATAAGAAATTGTTGTTTAAGTTGTTTACTATTACATATGAATGCATATTTCACTAAATACAATGTTCTTCGTTACAATTTGTCTTTTATTAAAGTTTCCTTCCATTTGATCCAGAGATGCATAATTGATGTGTTTATGCATGAATTTCGTCGAAGGGTATTTTGGTTTATCAAATATCAAAATGTATTTAATAATCATTAGAGAAACAGATTATTACATAGTTTAACGTAGATTGTCGGAATTATCCAATCAAGATAGATATGTTATCGACTGGATAACTCCGATAATCATTTTGTATCAATATAAGAATCTATTTATAAACACAATGAATGCATACACTGTTATAAACGCCATGAAATGAGAGTACATATGAAATAAAATTTCCTGTTATCCGCACCATGAAAAGTGACTGCATAAAATTACATGCCTTGTTACAATGTATCAATGAAAAGTTACTGCATCAAATTACATTCTCTGTTATCAGCACCATGAACATTGATTGCATAAAATAACATGCCCTGTTATCAATACCATGAAAAATGACTGCTTAAAATCACACTCCCTGTTATCAACATCATGACAAATATCAGCTTAAAAAAAGAAAGAAGATAGCAAATAGACAATCAAAAACCACAAGTTGACGAAAAACAGAAAATAACATGACCAAAAAGGAAAAAGAATGAAAAGACAAACTACGGTCTACAGAACGCTACACAGAATCCTCAAGACTATGCCCATCGACAACTGAGGGTGATCTCAAATGCTCCGAATTGTTTACCAAATCCTGATTCACTAGTATCACTTATTACTGATTATAAGTAACATTTAAATGATAAGTCGCATTCGATGATGTCATAATCAAGATAAATAGGATTGGTTTGTGGCTACGACAATTAGAAAAAAGTACGCACCTTGTTATTAACGTCAAGAAAAATAACTGCAATATTTTTTTTGGTCATAACTTCATCCCAAAGTGAGACTGATAGAAGGGAAATTGAAGGCAGGGTTAGAATATATCAGCCATTAATTGTCTAAATAATGTCATAACTTACATGTAGAGATTTGATATAAAAATGTCATTAATAACGCTGAATTGAATATGAATATGGATTAATAGCATTTCTCTCAATTTAATCAGAGAACCAAACATTTATGGGCATAAGAAAAGCAATAAACAAATATAGAATGATATGAAAATGAGAACGGTTTTGTATTAAAATAAACTTACATGTGAACACTCACAGATGTATCCCATTCTGTCTAGGTGGCATGGTGCATCATTCCATTAATACTGATGGGCTGACCAGAAATGACCACAGTCTTCATTATTTCTATAATTATCCAGTTGGAATAACGAACCTTTGAAGAGTCATGAACCCATCTCCAGTGTCCTTCATTCTTAAAGTCTGCCGCTCCCATCCAAGAGCCATAATAGTGCTTAACCGATCCTGTTATTCCGGAATAATAATCATCATTGATAGTAAAAATTGTTATTATATAAACCATAAAAAGACAATCATGTTTAGTCATGCAAATCAAAATAAACTCGAATAGCATACTGAAAGACATCAATAACAAGACACATTCATACAGTCTGTGTTACAAGAATTTTAAACAATATACATGTAAACGTTCTAATAATGCTTTAACCACAACACGATTCTTAATTGGGATTCGGATTATCAGACCATTCATATTTTAAATTTCAGAATTGTTTTCGTGATGAAATTTGAATTATACAAGACCATATTTATAAACCCAACACCTGACTTAGCTCACATAACATTTATATTCGTTTGTTAGTTATAATAATAATAATAATAATAATAATAATAATAATAATAATAATAATAATAATAATAATAATAATAATGTTTTATTGAGAACTTTAAAACAAGTCTTCAGGACATAATGCATAGATTTTTGTCATCTTTAGCCATAAAAAAACCAACTTACAATTCTGAAAAACTCTAAAATTTCACTAGCGTTTTGGTCATATTTAAATCATATATGACGTTAGAAAGATAAACACATCAATTTCATTTGTGTGAACAATAAATATTAAAAAGAAATGTAATAAGATTTGGCCTTCTTTTATTAAAAGGTATTAAATATATTATCAACCAAACATTATGTGTTTAATATTTAACAAGCATTGCATGGTATTATACTATCTTGTTGGTAAATTTACGACTTTTTTCATAGTGGCTTTTTAAAACCATCATCGGTTACACACATGTAATTTGTCATTTGTATAATAAAGATGATTGTGTTCCATAATGTGTCTTATCATAAATATACTTACTAGTGATCATGTCAACAACCCACGAGTTTTCTGATGAGTCTGTAATCTTCACAAGGTAGCCTTTCATATTGTTTCTGGAATGACTTTATACGCTGGACAATAGCAAAACATGAAAATCATTATTACGTTACACCATAGTTTTAAATCGCAACTTCTGGCCTTTCGGTATAGTCTCAATCTAACTTATCTGCATCAAATTAATGAACTATTAATTACAATACAAGGTATTGACAGCACACTTAAATGATGAAAATTAGAGAGTGAAATAAAATGATAACCATAGCATGAAGAAATTTTCTAATTGTCATATTTCAGTTTTTAATGCTTCTTCGTTTTTAGCCAATTTTCTTCGATTAGGTCATTTCTTTTTATCAAAAGCTATTATATATTTTTAGGTGTTGGAACCATAAAGGTCTCAGGTATTGTCAACAAAATGAAGTAGTTTCAATAGAGGAATAATTTTCTAACACCTACTAAATGTAATACAAGCGCTTGATAATTTTGAGCTAACTAGTTGCAACAAAATTTAACACTTGAACAGTTTCTGCTGTTAAATTTATTGAAAGTAAAGAAGTTACATACAGCAGCAGCATGCCATGTTTTTGCGTCAGGTGAAAAAAAGTAGCAGTGATTCTTGTATTTCTTCCAACCGGCTGGACACTCTTCTGAGTTAGGAGTGCACTTGCAAGAATCGTCTGTTAAACAAATATAGCAACATTCATAATTTTATGAAAAAAAAAGAACACCACTGTTCCAGGTTAAGGAAGAGTTGAGGTCTCACATACATGTTTAACCCGGCCACGTTCTTCATGTGCCTGATCCATGTCTGGAACCTGTAGCGCAATAGTTTTGGTTGGTTCATATATGTCGTATTAGTTTTTTACGTAAATTGTTTTATTAGAAATTAAGCCGTTTGTTTACCCGTTTGAATTGTTTCACATTTTTCATGTCAAGGCCTTAAATAACCGAATATATGGTTAGGGTTTTTCTCATTATTGAGGGCGTACGATGGCCTATTATTGCTTATATCCACTTCATTTCAACTCAGGTGGATAGTTGTCTCATTGGCATTCATACCATATATCCTAATTGGATAGGGCATATAGTTGATAAAAACTAATATCAACAATAAGTATTTAAGGGATTTTGATGAACGTTAAAACATTCAAAAACCCTTTTTATTTGAATACTTTCTTAAAAAAAAAAATACCCCCATAGCACAAAAAGAAATTATATTAGTAACCTGAATGAAAAATAAAACAACATTGCATTACGTTATTTACCCTTAGTTAATGATTGTTCAACTTTGTGCAAATTGAAGCTTTGCTTGTTTTTGTTAAATGATGTCAAGTTCCCAAAGATCGATAATGTTAATGTACCGTTTATCCTGTTTTCGAATGCCTCAAGTAATGACCGCATTTCAGATATCATTGATATCTCCTTGGATCTGTCACATGTTTTCGACTCGATCACAGATATACAACACAGAACCAGAATTACAGAAAGGAACATCCTGTAAAAACGAATCATTTATGATTATTTATTCAAATTAAGGTATCAATTTGCTGAGTCCGAATTGTGTTATCATGGGCCAATATCTAGCCGTAAACTTAAAAATGTTATGAATTGAAATTATACATTTTGAAAATGTCTTACAGTTTTTTAATTATTTTCGAATTTCTGTTACATAAATTAAAATATTAAGAAATATGCTTTATTTTGAAAAATAATGTCTAATTTAGTTTTTTTTCATTGTAGATTGGCACAGAATAGTGATTTTAATCTCTTCTACATCTGGTAGTGAAAGAAACAAATAACGATCATAAAAGCGTTTTAAATTTGATTTTTTTGGACAAAATTGAAAGTTATAATGCTTTTCAGTAGCCGCAGTGCTTTAACCAAATTAGTCTCTAATCACATTTGTATATTAGAAACTGATAGATTTTATGAACTATAAATTTATGTAATTGATTTGTTAATTTTTCATGTTTTTGCAGTGGCAAATATTAAAAGTATTCTCAGCATGAGAACAAAATAACGATTCTCATAGGGGTTCGATCGTGATGAAGGGCGGGGTAAAGTTAGACAACTAGTTGGTAGAGTTGGATAAGGAGCAATACATCTGCTTTGCAACATGCTACCTACGGAACCCTAACAATTCTTTAACATGCAGATAGCGTCTCACTATCCTCCGGCTCTTTTCACAAAAAATCTTACAAGTAATAATACGCGTTAGTCATGAATATTTCAGTTTAACTAACAATCAATTTTAATCATTAGATGAACGTTGCTTCTTATTAATACGTGTAGAGTCCTTACAGAAAGGCGGATACACATTTTTATACATGGCCAATCATTTGGGTGTCTTAAAACTGGAAGAAGGACACTGTTTTTATTGCTTTGATTTCACTGAATATGGATTACATGTTATTTATAACTGCCCTGTGTATTGTGATCCGAAAAATACTTCTATTGAAGTTTTAAAAGTGGAAAGTAATTTTATTATTATTTATAAGATTGGCAGTCAATCATATTTTATGTTTAAAATTCTTTATAAAACATGTGCAAAACATTTGAATAGTATTAAGGAAGCGTTAGGCACTTTTATACAGTAAATTATATATATTATATAAATTTATGAACATAACTTATATCAAAATATGACATTATATTGTCCATCAAAAAATGTTTTGTTTGATTTGGCATATGTTTATTTTAGTATACTTTTTAATAGATATTCGCATTATATATGAAGTGACACATTGATAAAACTAAAAAAAAAAGTAGAAAAACGATAAAACGGTTAAAGGTGGTCTTTACGAACCCTTTATATGGTTTATTTATGAACGGTTTATTTTTCTCGATTGCGATGAAATACAAAGAATACAAAGAAACCATTCAACCGGTTTACATACATTATCAACAATTATTTCTCAGTTCGCTCTTTCTGTACATACATAATTATGGTGTTGTATCAATAAATTAACGTTCATATGCAAAACTCAGTAGAAACTTAGATAAAACACACATATTAAGCAAACAAATTTGAAAATACACATGTACAGACATCGATTTTGATTATTGTATTATTTCTGTATCTTATTTTGAAATTAAATAGGATGAAATTAAAACGAAATTTGTACAAAGCATATATATAGATTAGTATATAAAAAATTATAACAAACCTTTTTGGTATTTGATGTAAAGTTGTAACGCTGCACCTGAATATTGGTTTATGATATAGGAACAATGTAACTTTATCGTGTTTAACTTTCTGTAGTCCACCTGTCACTATATGGTATTATGGTAGAACAGTGTTAAATATCTCCAACCGAATATTTCCTAGAAATTACACTTTTTAGCTTTGTCACATTTTTAATAGTGATTAAGATTAGAACACAATGTTGGCTGCTGTGCCCCTATTTTTGACTTTTTCCTATTATGTCTGTTTGTTTTGTTCACACATTGTTGTCAATATAATGGAATTTTATGCGACTGTCTGAGAGGTTTAGCTAGCTATAAAACCAGGTTTAATCCACCATTTTCTACATAAGAAAATGCCTGTACCAAGTCAGGAATATGACAGTTGTTATCCATTCGTTTGATGTGTTTGAGCTTTCGATTTTGCCATTTGATAAAGGACTTTCCGTTTTGAATATTCCTCGGAGTTCGATATTTTTGTTATTTTACTCTACACTTATTCTGTATCCTGATCCGATTTAAACAATAATTGTCATTTTATTTCAAATATATACTTCTGGGTATTATGATTCGTTACTGTGGAAGTCTTCAGTATTGGCTTGCCAGTTCAAATTTTAATCGATCTTGGTCGCTCTTTTTTTCAATTAATTGTTCAACTTGTTTTCATCCTGGATATCATGAGATGTTTGCCACCTGACGTTGATTCAGCACTTATGTTCAATTATTTTGGTCAGTACAACTGTTTTAGCACTGTAAACATTTTAGAACTATCTATCAAACCTTAACACAATGACGGTATATATGCTCGCTTTTTGAGGTTTTTGTGGTGCTTGAAGCATAGGTATACTATGGGACCTCAAAATGGTGCATGTTCTTACTCTTAATGTTGATTATTCCGAAACTTTCAACATATTATAACTATGTTAAGTATGAATAATTTTAAGTGCATTTTAATACTTCAAGTCTAGCTATATACATTGTTTTGAAACGAAAACAAGAACGTGTATAGTCGCACTTAAAAAAAGTGCGCATAATAACACTGTTATAGGTTTATGTTGACATAATAACCTTCAAATTGTCACGTTTTTCTGTATTATGAACATATTATTTAAATCGTGGAAATATATATATTGAAACACAGATACGATAACCGGAAAACAATGTAATATCCAACTCCGTTGTTGTGATCCGTCTAATTCTAACTTCAAACCAACTGGACAGTTGATTATTGCAAAAACGTTTTAATTTAACTATTTTTACATTTCCGTTTTCTTTAATCTGTGTCATATATAACTTTTTTGTATAATTATGATTAGATGTCTATTAGTTATTTGTGTCGCTGGGATGCTGTCACATTGACATTGACCAGACATCTCCTTTAATAATATTCTACATCAATCAAAACCCTGGTTACATTTAATAAATTGTAAAGTTATTTCTACAACGAAACTTGTTGGAAAATCAACGGACCGCGATTTGCGATCACACAAAGCATCAACGTAATTCTTGCATGGGTTCATATGATACTAGATTGATATTTCCGGAAAAAAAATTTGTTTTCATAATATTAAATGCTCATTGTTGGAGTCTTCAATAGGATTTGTTTTGTGCAAACTATAATAATGTCCAAAGCATTAAAATGACTTTTACTGATCAAGGTTCTGGTATAGTCCTATAACATATTTTCTTTTATTATGTGTCGTCCCAAAAAGACCCAAAAATGAAACAATCAACAGAAAACGTTTAAAAATGAGTTAGAATGCCTAGTTATGTATTATAGAACTAATTCTGAGTTACTTTTCACAAAAAAGATCTTCAGATGAAAATTAGTCGTACTCACTACTTTTTTTGGTGTATTTGTTTGGACAACAGAACATTAGTTTTAAACATGATAAAAACTATAATGCATTTTTTCTTTTATTTAATGATACTACATTTATTATTCTTTGAAAAAAAACTTTTTGCTGCGATTATATAAATCATACCTATAAATTTGTTAACAAACACACATTTCATGAATGGAAATATGTGTATATATATATATATATATATTAAAAAGTTTTAAATTTTGTCCACGCTGTGCATAAAATAGGGAAAAAAATAAGGCTGAAAATGCACCAAATATCTATATTCAATATGAATATTCACATTTTGTCTATTACAACAAGAAATTATTCAAAAATGTTTTCCATAGTATCCTACCGGTTTCACTGTTTAACAGATCTTCAAGGATATAGTTGCTGGCGACGTCGTCAGGGGTAACGTCCATTAGCGACATTATTATTTAGTCCTGAACGTCATAATATAGCACAACGTAGGTACTTAAAACGAAAGTGAAAGTACAAAAGTACCTACGTTGTGCTATATTATGACGTATATTATATATACTTGTAGTACACGTAAGGACGTATATTACTAGCTATACATTTGCCTAAGTCCTTCAAGGATCTTTGAAGGCCTAAGGCATGCTACAAATGTAGGCAGTTATTGCATGATTTGTCTGATGTGATGCTTAAATATGAAGATTAGAACAAGGATCCGGAGACCTAGTTCACAATTTCACAAAGAAACAAATAACGATCAAAAAAGCGTTTTAAATTTGATTTTTTTGGACAAAATTGAAAGTTATAATGCTTTTCAGTAGCCGCAGTGCTTTAACCAAATTAGTCTCTAATCACATTTGTATATTAGAAACTGATAGATTTTATGAACTATAAATTTATGTAATTGATTTGTTAATTTTTCATGTTTTTGCAGTGGCAAATATTAAAAGCATTCCTGATCAACAAAAGTTGGGTTCCTCTTTTTTTTAAAACAGAAAATACAGCATAAATGAAATTGTAACAACTATTTCACTGCATAATCAATATTCCTGTAAAAACGTTTAAATCAATATTTGGAAAACATTTTTATAAACTTGGAACGATTAAAATGACAAAATATTTTAAATTTATCATGAATAGATCACGTTTACTTTCGATTTTTAAACAAAATGAGAACAGGAAGTGACAAAAGGATAATGAATTTAGAATGAATCTGGACTCATCCACGGATTGGTTCGTGTTTATCAAAAAGGCTGGAAATTATCAATTTTTGAATTAAGTTGCTCAGTAAGAAATATATATGTGTGTCTCGTTTAATTTGATACTAAATGATTTCATATTTTACGTTTTAGCGTCTATCAAATTTATAAGAATACGTTCACGCATGAGCAGAAAATGATAAAGAAGGCACCTATTTGACTCGTGAAAATATTTTTGAACGTTTTGAAGAAGGTTTCATTTTCATAATCGAAATTGTCGATAGATTTTGATGAAAAATTATATAAAATATGACGAAAATACGTTCGTATGACGAAACGAGCTGCAAACAGTGATCGTTTGAGAAATTTTGAATTTAAAATGCTCACTGTCCGGGGGAAAATAATTTTGTTCAATTGACGAACCTACTAAAACATCTATAATTGTCTATGGATAAACAAACTGCAAATTGTGGTCTTTGAGAAATATTGAAATTGAAATGCCGACTGATATTTCTGGGAAAAATAATTATAGTGGTTCAATATGAGGTTTATTGATTAACGGATAAGTGTGACCCACCCGATGGTGATAAGTGGATTACTTGTAATCACAACTTATAACACCTGCTGTAAAGGTTAATTAGCTGAGGGTCATAAATTGTCAGAAACATGAAGACAGGTAGAAATATAGTATTCCATCAAAATAATACGGCAATAAAGGCATGGACTTGCAAAAAAGGGCACAGGGCGGCAGTCGGGAAAGGGCGGGCGGACCGCTCTGTGAAAATAATCAAGCTGGAACACTATGTAAGGTGTAATTATGTTAAGTCCCATATAAATGCCCCGGACATACTGTAATAGTCCATTTGCCAATTACCGATTTGATTCTGTTATTACACACTTTTTAAACAAATTACTTCCTTTTGTCAATCGTAGACTGGTTCTATACCAGACGAAATTGGCTTTTGCCCACGCAAAGCATGATAAGTTGAAAGTGATATATCGGCATTTTAACAAAATTTGTATTGAAAAATAACTTCTGGTATCAAAAGTGTTTAGCTTAACAACAAATTAAATGTAATTAAAAGATTTGAAAAAGTTAAAGGTTACACACTTTACGTTCAGATACATTTGCTCTTTCCGCTTGCTCTCCATTGTCAATTAAAATGTATGTCCCTCCTAAGGAAGACAACTACAAAAGGAATCTCTTATTACAGGGTCAATTACGGAAATTGGCAAACACACTATTGCGTGAAATCATTGTTATTTGTTTTAGAAGTTGAGAAAACCTTTGGCGACCCATGCGTGTAAATGGCCATTGTAAATAAAACGTAATATGTGGGCGTAACGGACGAATGTATGGCTATTTCTAAGATGCTATGGGTTTAATAATATTTATATTTCCTAAGGCACGATGGAAAGGTATATCCCTTCCTGCATGGACATATATATTTGTATTTTTCGCGAAATAATTGTGTACAAAATTGAAAATAAATTTGTCCCACAGATGAAAATAAATTAACCTTCGCCAAGACAAAATGAAATGAATCCTCACACCTATATGTAGTTTTTGTGTAAAAATAAATGTATACAAATCGAAAATAAACTTTCTGACATTATAGTCAAATAAAATAAACTTGCCGACATAGCAAAAAGTAAAGATGAACATTTTGTCAGTTAAAAATCCTTTTCAAATGTGGTAAAGAATATTAAGCCAGATAGTGTTAAACATTTGAACTGACAAAGGGGTGCATTTTTTGGTTCGTTAAGCATGTTAAGGGCGTTATAAAGTCACAATATCGAAGTTATGACTTTAAGATGAAAAGATTTCAAGTTGAAGTAAAATAGAACAATATGTAGAGAATTTCTTTAATTCATTGTTTAAATTTATATACCCCAAATAGCTACAAAAAATAAAGAAATTTAGTGACATTTGATCAAATCTCTTGAACTTTATTCAAATATATTTTCATCACAGCGTTCGAAATTTTTTTTTTTAAGTTTAATATAACATGACTGTATAACAAACAAGTACATTTTTGGTATATGCCTGCGCTATATGTTTCCTGTCCTGAAAACCAATTGAAATTTGCTTGTTTTCATTTTATATGGTGGAAAATAAAATTTACACAAATCTTAACGTCATATGTATATATAATATTTATCAATATAAATGTATGTTCAATGTACAAATGATGTACAACTTCGTACCAGTAACATGAGTAAAATTTTCCGAAAAAAGTCATGTTTATATCTTGAAACTGTTATAACTGTGAGTGATTGTGATACTTTTGTATAATAGTCATTACATAATGATTTTAATTTAAGAGAGAAATGTGGGTCATATTGAGGCCTTATTGAATTGACAGTTATTTTGGGTCTATATTGAGCTAATAAAGAGGCTGGGGCATTTTCTCCTAGTGAATTTATTTCACACAGGTCATTAAAACAATTCTTCTAATCCTTACTGAAATTAGTATGACACTTTCATGTGTACCTAGTTATTCAAACAGTAGTATGTATTACATTCAATGGGATAAAAAAATATGCATAAAGATTGCTTAAAACCGCAATATTGACTGATGTTGTCTATTTGTTAGGATTCATCCGAAAAGTCTATTAGAATAACATTCTAAACCAAAATTTGTTTGTAGAAAACCTACATATTGACTTTTGGGTAAAATTAATTTATGTTTGCATTTTACCTTCAATACATAAATAAGAGAATTATTTATGTATTGAACAGTAACAGTTATCGTTTTTAGAATTAAATTTTGATTTTATGAATATATATGAAAAAAATATCGACAAAGTTTAAGTATATAATGTAGAGTCTTCAATATTTAAATTTTGATGGGGTTCGTGTTGCTCAGTCCTAAGTTTTCTATGTTGTGTGTTGTGTACTGATGTTTGTCTGTTTGTCTTTTCCTTTACAGCCATGACGCTGTCAGTTTATTTTCGACTTATGAGTTTGGATTTCCCTTTGGTATCTTTCACCTCTCTTTTAGAAGGAAGAGAAAACCTTTAGCTTTTAACAATCATGGCCAATTGTTCCACTTATAGGAAAAGCTCAATCTGTTTTTTGTACCAATCTACAGAGGATTTGAACCAACACCTTTGGCAAATTTAAAACGTTTACCCACATTTTAGCCACTCAGCCACAACAGCTATATAAACATACGCTCATATAAATATTAGGGAACATGTGATAAAACTTTGCTTCCATCCATATACATGCAAGTCTTTGAGATTACACTCTGATTATGCAATTATATACTGGTCTTGTCATGAACCAAACCAAACCTAGGGAAAAGCTAGAACTATTGCAAGCTAAATCATAAAATGTTTCATAAAAAAGTCCATTAATTGTCAAAGAAACACCCCCCCTCCCCCCTCCAAAAAAAACCGGACCAAAACGCAAAATAGGAAGTGCATAATGGAGTTATATATGGTTAGGATTTTGAGAAAGTTTGAATTAATTGTAATACGGGATTTGGAAGTATCTGCGGATACATAAATGCTACCCCCAAATAGAGCAATGACTAAGTCGATGCTTTGGTAAGAAAAACCCTGAAAAATAATTCGACTCAAAACACAAAATAGGAGGAACAAAAGTACATCATGGAATCAGATTCTTAAATTTAGGAGCAGTTGTGGATACAAAAATGGGACAGAAGGAGGAAGAACGAACAGACAGATATACAGACCCCCCCTTTTCCATCAATATATAATACAAGAACAAGAAAGAGCAACCCCCAAATTAAAATAGATAATATATTTCAACAATAGACACCTTTGTCAAGTCATGGCCAGTTTTCCTGATATTGCAAAGATTTTATAGGAAACGCTTAGCAAATTGTACTGGGATTTTGAGGTCTTTGTTCAAGTAAAAAGGCAAACAAAGGGAATTCACACTGAGGAACAAAGTTTATCATAGAACACTTTGTGAAATGTTTACACATTGCTTTTACTAAGATGCTATCTCCAACATTTTCAATAAAATCTTGCACTTTGATGATCCTATACTAATAAGTAATATTCCTAGAGATCAGAGATTATGCCTTACATGTAAATGTAACATTTTGGAAGAGGATTTGTTTTTTTATTAGATTGTGAATTAAATAGGGAACTTTTTGATTATTTGGAAATACATTTTTCTATTCAAGATTTGTCTGATGAAGAAAACGTGATTTGATGCTCAATCCATCAACACCATCACAAGTAAATAAATTTGTTTACTACATTAAACAGTCGTTAGAACTAATGACAGGTGTCTTTGGAATATATACTGTAATTAAATGATTGTGTACATATATATGTGAATTTAAGTTAAATTGTATACTCATTTTGAATTTGTCACAACTTATTGTTTAAAGCTTAAATGGCAATAAAAATTTGATCTTGAATCTAAATTTTGTTATAGTCGGTTTGAAAAATCTTCTGATTTTAAGATGCTCAAGTATAAAAACTTTGTTCAAAGTTAACATATATGTATTTATTGATACCCTCATGTTTTATTTGCATAATATTTCAAACGAACTTCGGTCTAAATACAACCCTTATTGTCCAACAGTAACCAAGTATATAATTTGTTTGAAAATTTGTTCAAGCAAGCACGACTTAGGTGTAAACTAAACTCCAGCTGAAATTCGACCTTTGATATATACTTTAACTTAAATTCCCAACTTATGAATGTCTGTAAACATCCATCTGTTCTAGGAACTGCGGTTTGATCACGTCCCAAGCTTTCATGTCAAGACTTAGTGCATAATTAACGCGCCTTGTGTCTAAACTAATACTCATCAACTTTCAAGGCTGAGCTCAATAATGACACGATCCTGGAAGCAAAATGTCTAGTAATCAGCAAATGTTCTTTGTTTAATTGTAGTTCTAAATAATACGTAGTTTTTATGGATAATAAGTTACTGTTACATAGTGAATTATTAACACTTCTAAACATTAAAACTACATTTTGTCACGGTTTATACTAGAAGTACCAGCCTAAAACAGTTTATTGATAGATGAGGGAAAATACGGTCTACTTTGAAGTACTTGCCTATTGATTTCAATAATGGTTAGATATTAATAAACATTTTTAACAATAAATTCTTTTTCTTAACTCCACATATCAAATTAATGTATTTGAGTCAAGTAATTAAGAAAAAAATCATTTATTATTAAAAAGTCAACTTAAGTAGCAATGGTCGTTTCTACCCCATTGTTTTCTTCTATGGTGTTTTTTTTTTTTGTATTTACAAATATCAAACCGTGAAATTTAGACTTTCAGTACGTCATGAGAATATTTTTGTAATTAATAGCCTTTCCAGAACTTTCCGGATGCTAATTGTGGTATTTTTTTTTTGTATATTGTCACAATTCTGATTTGTAAAAGTGGCTCTTTAGTGGTAAGCAAAGTTTACATAATATGATAGTTAATATACTGTTTATGCTTAAAATATAGGAGATGAAATGCAAAATTCTTTCTGTTTAGATTTCTTTAATGAAGTGAACAATATATCTGTCTTCTAGTGGCTGATTGTTCCTCTCTCATCCATTGAAGGGACGGCAGTTCGGTCCCTTAGGAACAGAAGAAGAAAACATTAGTATGTCGGAATATACTTTATTCTCAATAAAAAATTGGCATGTGTATCGGAGGAAATTTAAGACAGTAATCATGAAAAATTACTAGCAGAGATTACAAACATATATTCACTTTGCAAAATGAAGCTATTATATATAAACCTTAAAATTTTGAATTATTCGTATTTTGTTCAATAAAATATTGTAGTGCAGTTTGCTCCGCGAGTAATATGTCTTTTTAGTGTTTGAATTTATGAACCCCTGTTTAGAGTTTATTTCCGCACCAGTAATTTGACAACAATACAGATATCTAAATGATGTATTTCAAAATGATTAGAAAACGATTCAGTTGATATTTATAATACTAAACAAAAAATTAAGCAGGCAACATTTTGCAGTTTAGCTTAACAAAGTTTGTTAGCAGTATGAAGAGTAACTTAATACTATTACACCCCTTGTTGTAAACACCACGAAAAATTACTCAGTTGAATAACATTCTCTGTTAAACATCGTGAAAATTAATATTCTTAATTCCTTTCCCTTAAACATGTATCACGACATTAAAATGTGTTCTAAACACCATGAAAAATGATTGTATAAATTGTTATGAACACTATGAAAAATTACTGCATAAAACTACATTCCCTGTCTATAAAGCACCATATAAAGTGACTGCATAAAAAGAGACAGAAGATACCAAATGGACAATCAAAGACAACAATTTGAAGAAAAACAGAGAATACCATGGCCAAAAAGGAAAAACGACGAAAAAAACAACAACAGTCTATAAAGCACTATACAGAAAACATAAGACTGGGCTACACGAACCCAAACGAAAATCATAGGCAATCTCATTTTACGTTGAATTGATAAACAGATCCAGCTTCACCCTGTACAAGTATACGTGATAAGTCACATTCAATGATGTAATAATCGAGACAATTAGGAAGTGATTGTCGCTCTGACAATTTAAAAAAAAAATTCCTTGTTATTAATGCCATGAAAAATGACTTCATTACTTTTTCATTATCTCAACTTAACCCCTTTTAATGAGAGCATATTAGAAGAGTAATGGGGAGATTAAGTTTAAATATATCAGACATTTATTGTCCAAATAATGAAATAGTTTTCATTTAGGATATTTTGAATAAGAAATGCCGTTTATAACGCTGAATTGAATATGAATGAGGATTAATTGTAATCCTATCAGTGGACCAAACATTTCTGGCCATAAGAAAAGCAATAAACAAACATAGAAATGAAAATGGGAACTGATTTGAATGAAAATAAACTTACATGTGAACACTCACAGATGTACCCTGTGTTATCAAGGTTGCATCGTACATCATTCCATTTATACTTAAAGACTGTCATCAATAGACCACAGTCTTCATTTCTCCCATTATTGTTTGGTTCGCCTGGATACCACTGGGAATAACGAACCTTGTCAGAGTCATGAACCCATCTCCAGTCTCCTTCTTTCTTAAAGTCTGCCATTCCTATCCAAGAGCCATAGTTGTGCTTAACCGATTCTGTTTCCAGCAATAATAAACACATATTATAGTAAAAGTTGTCAATATATAAAAAGCAAATTATTTATGCAAATGAAAATGAACTTACACGTAAACATACTTCATATCCTTATTTTATTTACTAAAAGACATCAATACTACGACATTTTCAATTATAGTCTGTGTAATCAAATTTTAAACAATACAAACGTTTTCAAATGATATACAACCACACAGTTTTGAATTGGAGTTCGGTTAATTTTCAGAACTATCTTTCGTTAAGAATTTAAATTAATACAAAATTTATTTGTGAACCCAGAAATTTGGCTTAATTGACGGAACGTTTAAACTCGTTTTTACATTTTTGTGGGCATTACAACAGCAACAATAATAATAATAATGATAATAATAATAATAATAATAATAATAATAATAATAATTAAAATAATAACAATAATGTTTTTATTATGACATTCATTCAAGTCTTGATTTTTGTTCATCTTAAGTCACAAAAAAACGAGAGATAGTTGGATTATTCCGAATCAAAATTGTATAATAAAAGTATGATACATACTAGTATTTCTTTACAGTAAACTGACTTATGCGGAAAATCAATGTTTCAATGTATTAAGGTTAGCGTTCCCTTAAATAAAAAAAAGGGAAATATACTATTCCACCCATTATCATTTGTTAAATCTTTTAACTAGCACTAGATGGTATTATTATATAATTTGGCGGGAAAGTGATCAACTGAATATAAAGTGTATCCTAGAGAGTGCGGTTTGGAAAAAATGTTATGTAGCTTGAACACGAAACCATGTTTCTTTTATTCAGTGGTAGCTCTTGGTAATTTCACCTATTTGTTTTAAAAGCTCTGTTATTTTTTGTTGTCACATAATGAGCTTTCCCTTTATTTAATCCATATACATTTGACAAAGTAGTGTGAAAACAATCCTGGGTGACGTTACCATGTTTTGTTTGGTATATTTCCGAACTTAAAGAATTTGATATAAAATACACTGTAAATTATGCACGTATTTGTTGCTACCATATATTACCCTAATTGATATTATAATATAGAATCACACTGTTTCCCTAAATTTCGGTTCTATATTGAAAATTTTAAAATTTATTTTCACACACTTTTTGTCTCAACTGTGATTTCTCTATTTTGTTATTTTTCTACTACAGCTGTGTTGCGAAAATGTAACAGTGTCGGTGTGTCTTATCATACGTATAAATATACTTACCATAAAGCTTGCTAACAACCCACGAGTTTTCTGCTGAGTCTTCAATCTTTACAAGGTAGCCTCCCATATTGTTACATTGTTTCTGGAATAACAGAAATAGAACGTTATACTCTGGATATTAACAAAGATTGAAATCGTTACTTTTAAATGACTTCTTCTGACCTTTCAGTAAACGTTACAATCTGATATATTTGCATACAATTTATGAAATATTTATTACATTAAAAGGTATAATTGACAGAAGATATGAAAGATGAATGAATAGATTTAAAAAAAATGCCATTGCCATTGCACTAAAAATTTCTAGTAATTATTGTAGTAGTGAAATTACAGTGATTTGTATAATACTCCTAGATATTACCGGAAACACTTATCATTTAGCTAATATTCTTGCACGGGATCATTTCTTTTAATCAAAAGCTATCAAAACATTCCATCTAGGCTTGTGGATGTTGAGTAGTGTCAACTAAATCTAGTATTTGCAATAGAGACATATTAACCCAACACCCACCTAATAAATGATCGAATAGCTCTTGATACAATTGAATTGACCAGTTGCATTGAATTTTGTGAATAATTTCCTATATTAGTATAAGTAAAGAAGTGACCTACTGCAGCATAATGCCATATTTTTGTGTCCGGTGAAAAAAAGTAGCAGTGATCCTTGTATTTTTTCCAACCGGCTGGACAATTCCCTGAGTTGGCAGAACACTTTTCTGTTAAAATATGCAATATTTTTTATAAGTATTATTCCAATAATGTACATGTAGCATAATCTCAAAATGAACAATGCATAAGTATTAAAAATACTATTGTCAAATCATTTGTTTAGTCGTCTGTTTTAATCTCGGTTATTCAGGAGTATATTAATGTGATTTTAACGAACTTTAAACACTTTAAAACCTTTTCGTTGAAATCTACGTTAAAAACGTATCCCTGCACAAAAAAAAAAATAATCAACTCTAACAAAAGTAAAAGAACCTTGGATTCAGATATTATCTATAAGAATTGTCAAATTGGTGTAAATTGAACCATGGCTTGATTCTATCAAGCTTTGCCAAGTTCCCACAATGAAAAGTGTTAATTTACCTTTCATCTTTTTTTCTATGGACTGAAGCATGCTATATATCGTTGATTTCTCTTTGGATATATCACATGAGTTTGACTCGATCATAGAAATGCAACACAGAACCAGAATTACAGAAAGGAACATCCTGTAAAAACTAAGCATTTAAGATTTTTTATATTTTAACAGACAGAAACTTTTTTTGATGGGGCAAATAATTTCAGTCGCCAACTTTATATTGTGATAAAACGGAATTATATTTTTCGTAAACTTCTCAACGTTTCAGAATTTGGGGGTTTCTGTTATATAAATCAAAATATAAATAAAAGTGCTCTATTTTGAATTTTTTGTTTTGTGTAGATTGATTGATTGTTGGTTGCTTGATAGAAATTTAGCCTTGCAACAGGTCACTACGGACCCCTCAGAGAGTTGTCATAAGGGTTCTTAACTTGCAAAGAGCGTGGCACTCTCTTTACAACAGGCATCGGAGTTAACGTTTCCATTTTGACCGGACGTGACTGCGAGCTTGTACATCCCGCACAGCCAAACGGACGCCCCACTTTGGCGAGGGTTTTATAGCCGGTCGGAGGAATACCAATGGTGATCATATTTCTATTCCTCAGTCACCTTTTTTTTGTGTAGAATGAGTTGCGTCTTCTACGTCAGGAAGTAAGCAAATATAAATTACGATTATATAAGTGTTTTAAACCCGAATATTGTGTTGAAAATATTGTAATTTTGTTAGTTTGTAATGTCTTATAGTGCCCGCTGTGTTTTTTCCAAATTTAGATGTGGGTTGGCTCCAATTATCTTAGAAACTGGCATATGAAAAACATTAAACTGAATTAATTGATCGTTTTTTTCTCTGTTGCAAATATTGAATACATTCTCAAGATGAGAGCACATCAACAATAAAACAAGTACACGAAGGTAGGTTTTACAAAAGATTTGATCAATCCGGATAAAGGACGATAAGTTTGGACAACCACTAGAGCATTGATTTTGTTGCCAGATAGAAAAAGTCCAAGTTAGCATAATTGTATACCCCAGCCAATCATTTGGGTGCAGGAAGACTGGATGAAAGACGCTGATTTCATTGCTTTAATTTTACTAAATACCGATTGCATTTCATTGAAAACTGTTGTGATCTAAAAACAACTTTGAAGTTTGAACAGTTGAAAGTATTTTTTTTTTTGTTTTAATTTGAAAGATTGCCAGTCAATACTATTTTATATTCAAATAAAGTTCTTGTGCACAACATTTAAATTTAAAGATGAATATTTTCAAGAATGCGTTGAGCACCTGAACATTATCTCTCTCTCACTCTGTCTCTCTCTCTCTCTCTCTCTCTCTCTCTCTCTCTCTGAAAGATTGCCAGTCAATAATATTTTATTTTCAAATGAAGTTTTTGTGCACATTTCAATTTAAATATAAATATTTTTAAGATAGCGTTAAGCACCTGAACATTTCAAATTCTCTCTCTCTCTCTCTCTCTCTCTCTCTCTCTCTCTCTCTCTCAATGTGATCTTTACGAACCGAAGATATGGTTTATTTGTGAACGGGTGTTTCATTGTTTTATTAAATTGCAAAACAATAGAAAGCAATAATTGAATCGGTTTACATTAATATTTACCATTTCTCAGTGTTCTCTTTCCGAGCAAATATAGGATGTGGTAATAATAAAATTAAAGTGCAGATGCATCACTCAAAGGCAAATTCTTTTAGATAACATACACTTACTAAGCAAGCAGATTTGAAAAAAAACACCTGTACAAATATTAATTTTGGTTATTGTTAGTTACGTGTATGTTCTTATTTTTGTATATATTTTTTTTTAATTTGAATCAGATGAAATTGAATAAAATTTTTACGAAACCATAAATATAGATTAGTATATAAAAAATCACAACAAACCTTTTTGCTTTTTGATGTAAAATTATAAAGCTGCTACTGAATATTGATATTGGTTTATGATATAGGAACAATGTAACTTTCATGACCTTGTCGTGTTTAACTTTCTTTGGTCCACCTGTCACTATATGGTATTACGGTAGTACAGTGTAAAATTTCTGCAACCGATGTTTTCCTGGAAATCGTATTTTTAAACTTTGTAACCTACACTATATCCTGATTTTGATTTAAACAATAATTGTCATTTTATTTCAAATATTCTTCCCGAATGTTATGATTCGTTTACTGGGAAACTGTCTTTGGTTTGGAAATTCAAATTTTAAGCCCTCAATCTCGATCACGTTATTTCAGAACACTTGACGTAAATTAAGCATCAATGAATCAGTTATATGGGTAAATAAAACTGTTTCAGCACTGAAAATAGAGTTTTTTTTAGAATTATGTTTCTAAACCTTAAAATATTAACTAAAGTTATGCTTACTTTTTGTGGTTTTTCATTATAAATCGAACCAAATAATTAGGCGTACACATCAAATCACATTAGTTTGATTGATTTAATCTTTGCTCAACTCCCAGTCGAACGAATATGTTTCGAGAATACTCAGAAGAAGAACAAATTAAACAGTAATTCAGTAAGCAGATTGGAAAAAAAAGTGGTTTGACTGGAATAAAGGGACAAAGTAAGTGTCAAAGTGTTGTTGCAAGGATTTTTAACATGTTTAGAGCATAGCGCTTTCCAAACATAGGCCTCATATTCTAATTGGTTGGTCTTTGCTTCGTGAATGTGAAAGACTCAAATCATGAAATTACGTATTGAAGCTTATTTTAAAACTGTAACGGAAAACCAAGGGTCTATTTTTGTTTATAGTATATTTAGAATATTCTTAAATAATCAGCAACTCAAAAACAAAATCTCCACACACACAAACATCAACATAAGAAAGACACGACAAGAAAAGACAAGTGAAAAACAATATACAGACTCGAACAAGACAGGTGTCTTTATCAAGCTCTTAGTCGTTGTGTGTCTACATGAAATGTTAATATTAAAAAAAATAACAAAGATCTGTCATCAACTTATAGATAACAGGAAACAAACATTGATGAGAATCCTGATATCCGACAGATATATTTACACGTAACAGGAAGTTAACTATCTTTTTGAATATTCGATTATCTCCCTTATTTGTTTTTTCAGTTTGATGATAAAGTATATACTAAAAATTACCAAGGAAATAAAATTAGAATAAATAGTAAAACTCATAATGTCCGTATCACATACGACTAAAACAAAGGCTTTCATGGCAAAACAGTACTAAATAGTGATACGACCAACATACTTCACATATATCCCGTCACTTGCAGTCTATGAATTGTTGAGGGAAACCCAAAATATAATTAAAATAGAGAAACAAAATAAAGAGGTGCACAATGTATATGGTTAAAATATATAAGTAAATATTGATTCAAATAAGGGGCTTAGAAGAAATTGCATATTTACTCCAGATAAAGCTAAGATAAAAAATTTGCTAAAGGATATCAATAAAACAAATCAGATTAAAAGCAATATAGGCGGTGGACAATGGTATAAGAATATGATTAATAACAGCTTGGATATGCGTTTTTCAGTATGTTGTTGATATTACAGGACGGCTTATCTTTATTGTGTTTGCCAATGACTATGATTTTACGCAACGACAGCCTGTCAGGGGCCTTTCAGTTGGAATATACATGGTCACTACATACACATTTCCATTCCATTAATAAAATGAAAGTTTTTTGCATACAATTTATAGGAATTTGTTTAACATACACCCTATCAAAAAATGTTCCATTTAAGAGAAAAAATACATTCACATCTAGATTTTTTCCTTGCACAAACCTAAATTTTGTGGATCATGTAAAACAAAATCAGTATGCTTCTTCTGGACTCAATAATTTTTTCGCATGGAACATAATTTGAAGTCACATAGAATATTCAAGCGATAAGAAGACAATTTATGGAATGTAACTAATGTTAACATTCTGTTAACTATAAATAAAGGAGATGTCTAGTATTTGCCAATGAGACAGCATTACAGCGACACAAAACAAATCACACATCAAAATCATATAGCAAGGTCAGCAAAACATACAGAAAGAGTAAAATGTGTCTTTGTCAAAATTTAATGTTGATTATTCCTTAACTTTCAATTATTTTTTTTTTGCATGAATATGTTTTACTGCATTTGCTTCTAGTTTTTCAATATATATTGTCTTTAAATTAAAAAAAAACACTTTCTACGCCAGACACTCGTTTCTTTTACAAAGACTCATCAGTGACGCTCGACTCAATAATAAAAATTAAAATTATGATTAGATGTCTCTTGATTATTTGTGTAGCTTGAATGGTGTCACATTGACATATATCAGGCATCTCCTTTATTAATTGTACATAAATCAAAACCTTGGTTACATTCAATTCACTGTAAAAAAAATTCTACCACGAAACTCATTACAAAATTCGAGCCGCGTTTTGCGATCACACAAAGCATCAACGTTAATTTTGCACCGGATTCATATGATGTATTAGAATGGTATTTCCGGGAGAAAAATGTTATTATAATTATATTTGAATGCTCATGCAAAATCTGGTCGTTGGAGTGTTCGATAAGACTTTTTTGTGCAAAGTATAATGTTCAGAAGATTAAAATTACTTTTATTAATCAAGGTCCGGGTATTATCCTATGACATATGACGTGGGGGCGATATTTTCTTTTATCATATACTTGTATAAAATATTACTTAAATTTTACAGTTCCATAACATTTAAAAATAATTAAAAGGCTATGAAAGGGTTACAATGTTTATCAACCAGATTCCTAAGAATTTCCTCGGCGGGCTGATAAACGAACTTTTATTGACTGCTTCCGGTATATTATCACATGCCTTTCCGTAATTGTCCGTGGGGTTTATCACATGCAACTTCGTGCATTTCCGGAAATTTGTTTGTAAACATGGCAGACGTTGACAATAAATTTTTCAAACTAAGAACATAATAATTGTTGTGATATGTCACATGATAAATGAAATGCTTGTTATATCAGTCAAAAAATTAAAGTTAATAAATTTGTATTTGGTTGTCTGTAAATTATTATCTAGAATTTCAAAGGAAGACAAAATTTTAATAGTTCTTGTCTGTATTTCTTCTGCTGAAGTATATGATAAAAAGATCATTACATGTCATTTTTCATATCAGACCCTTTATCGGCCCTCGTTCATGATATCATCCCTCGAGCCTCCGGCTCTTGGGCTGATATCATGACCTAGGGCCGATAAAGGGTCTGATATGAAAAATGCCATGTAATAATCTATACTTATTGTGTATGGTCCCAAAAAAGCCCACAAATGAAACTAGCAACAAAAAACGTTAAAAATTAAATCAGAATGCCAAGTAATATGTTTTAAAACTAAGTTTTTGGTAGTTTTAACAAAAAGATCTTAAGATGAAAATCAGTCGTACTCGGTTTCTCGAAACTCTTTATATCGTAGGACTTTTATTTTCTCGTGTATTCTTTAGACACAGAACTTAAGTTTTAAACATAGAAACAACTATATTGTATTTTTTTCTATTATTTAATGATACTTCATTCATTATTCTTTAATGGAAACTTTTTTCAGCGATAATACAAATCATATTTGAAATAAATACCTATAAATTTGAATGTAAAACATTATTTTATGAATGCAAATGTGTATATATATATATATATATATATATATATATATATGGTGTTTTTTTGTAAATCTCCATGTAGATGCCTCGGACTGTAATTGTGTGAAATCATTGTTATTTGTTTACATCGTTGAGAAAACCTTTGGCGGCCAGTGCGTTTAAATGTTCATTGTAAATAAAACGTACTAAGTGGGCATAACGGACGAACGTTTACCTGATCTGACCCGGCCAACGGCTGTCCACTGTGGTTCAATGTATGGTTATATCTAAGCTGTTGTGAGTTTAATAATAAATATATTCCCTAAAGCAGGATAAAAAGGAATATCCCATCAAGCATATACATTTATCTTACCTCCTATACATTTCTAGGAATATCATTGGTAAAAAGCGATCGCGTGGAGACCCTGTATATGGGGTTAGTATGTATGGTTTATTTTAATACACGGTTAGTAGTGTTACGTCCTTTATAAAAACAACACGAGGAAGAAATTGAAACGTTTCACCGGGACAACAGATTAAGAAATTGATAATGAACGATTGAAATAAATGCAGAAACCATATGAAAAGCTAAAAAGTTGTTATTGTTGGCTTTTGTTTTTGCATAGACCAATGGAAGTATGTTCTTTATATCGAATACTTGATCACTTTGATAGGCCACTAGTCTAAATGCCATATGTTAAGATAGTCAGTAAGATAAATTCGTTACACAGTGTGCTAGTAACCCAATACGATATATATGGGGTCAGTAAATTCTATATGAGGTTCGAGCTTATGTGTATTTTTTTGCGAACTAATTGTGTACAAAATTGAAAATTATTTTTATCGTTAATCATGTTAAGGGCGTTATAAGGTCTCAATATCAAAGCAATGACTTCAAGATGAAAAGTGTTTCAAGTTGAAAGAAAATTGAAAAATTTTAGAGAACTTTTTCTACTTCAATATTGAAATTCATACACAACAAAAAAGAAAAAGAAAACAATGAAACTTTTGTGAAAATTTGACAAAATCTCTTGGATTTCGTCCATATTCATTTTCATTACAGTGTTCGACAAACATAATTTTCAAGTTAAATATGACTTCTGTGTAATAGTCATTACATAATGTTTTTTAATTTCAGAAAGAAATGGGGTCATATTTGGGCCTTATCGAACCGACACCTTTATTGGGTCTAAATTGAGCTTACAAAGGGGTTGGGTCAATTTCTCCTAGTGAATTTATATCAAACAGGGGCATTGAAAAAAAAAATCTTCTAATCTTTACTGAAATTAGAATGACACTTTCACGTATACTTTGGAGTTCAAACAGACGTATGTTTTACTTTTAATGGGATGACCCAAAGAAAATGCTCAAAACCGCAATATTGACAGATTTTGTAAAATTTTATAGATTTATTTATTCGAATAACATTCTTAACCAAAATTTGTTTGACGAAAACCTACATATTGACTTTGGGGGTTAAATTCAATTCATTTTAGCATGTTAGATAAAAGAATTCGTTCTGTATTTAACAGCCATAGCTAGCATTGTTATAATAAAATTTTGATTTTATGAATATATATGAAAAAGTTGTCGAAAAAGTTTAAGTATATAGTGTAAATTCTTAATATTCAATTTTAGAAGGAAAAGAAAACGTTTTGATTTAAACCATCATGGTTATAGTAGTGAATTACTTACAGGATTAGTCCTATCTCTTTTTTCTCCCCGTGGGTAGAGAGCACTTTTGTGTTGACATGAATTATTATTGAAACGGTCATAATTATAATATAACTGATGATAAAACTTTAAATATTTCGAAATACTTAGAATTTTTCTGTTTATCGTACAGGTGATTCGAACCAACACTTTTGGCAAATTTAAAACTTATCCCCATATTTTTATCACAGGAAAACTATTGTTGTGTATTCAACTGCTCAAAGTATGAGCATATATAAATGTTGGGGTAGATGTGATGAAACTTTGCTTGCATCCATATACATGTAACACTCTGAGATAACACTATGTTATAATAGATTTATATATGGTTAGGATTGTGAGAAAGTTTGAAGTATTTGAAACAAGGGGTTTAGGAGAAATTGCGGATAAATGTTACCCCCAATAAAGCAATGGCTAAGTCCATGCTTTGGTAAGAAAACACCGGAATAATGGAGTAATATTCCTTGAGTATCATACAATTCTGACAAGCGGTTCAAGAACAGTTGCGGATACAAAAGTGGGACAAAAGGAGGACGAATGAACGGACAGATATACAGACTCCCCATTCACTATCTAATACAAGAACAAGACAGTCCAAATCTAGACAGGTGTCTAGTTATAAGAAATTGTACGTCAAACAAAAGCAATCAAATATATGCTGTCAACTTCCAACTCTCGAAAAAAGAAAACAAACCAGTGAGATGGTGAGACAACCTCTAACTGTGTTTTTTCAGCTGTTTACCATTGAGAGGTGGAAGTCTGTTCAATACATGATCAAGTGTCAAAAAGAGGGGCGTATCACGAATGTAAGTAATCAAAATATGTTTTTGCCAAGGATTTGTTCATGTGGGTTGACTACTGGTGCTACTAGGTTTAATTTGTGCTGAATATTTTCACCACAACCTCCTTTGCGTTCTACATCTAATGAAACTAAAGGACGATTCTATATTGAATGTTCTCCATGCAATTTTGTCACAAACGAATTCAAATTATGGCCAGTTACCCTAATATTGCAAAGATTTTATAGAAAACGCTTAGCATATTGAACTGGGATTTTGAGGTCTTTGTTTCAATCCTAAACAAACAAAACAGAACTGACACCGAGGAACAAAATTTATCATAGAACCGTTTGTGAAATGCATACACATATATATAGGTTTTTTTCAGAAGCAATCTCCAACATTTAAACAAAATTTTGCATTATAGATATTATGATGATCCTATACTTATAAGTAATATTCATAGATAGCAGAGATTATGTCTTAAATGTAACATATTAGAAGATGAAAAACATTTTTTATTAGATTGTGAATAAAATAGGGAATTGAAAAACAACTTTTTTGATAATTTAAATAAACTTTTCTGTTCAAGATTTGTCTGATGAAGAAAAAGCGATTTTTATGCTAAATCCATGAACATCACCACAAGTAAATAAATTGGGGTCCTACATTAAAAAGTCATTAGAACTGAGGACAAGGGACCTTGGACTATTTACAGTAATTAAATGATTGTGTATATATATATATATATGTGTGAATATCAGTTATATTGGATACTTTCTTTGTATTTGTTACAAACTTATTGTTTAAAGTGTATATGATAATAAACATTTGAATTTGAATTTTATCATAGTCGGTTAGACAAATTGTCCGTTTTTAAGATGCTAGAGTATAAAACCTTTGTTCAAAGTTTATATGTATTGATACACTTAATATGTTTTATTTGCATACATTTTTTTCAACGAACTTCTGGCTAAGTAAAGTCCTTATTTTCCAACAGTAAACAACATAGTATAATTTGTTTGAAAATTCATTCAAGCAAGCCCGTCTGTTAACATCCATCTGTTCTAGTAACTGTAGTCTAGTCACATCTCATGCTTTCATGGTCAAGACTTGGTGCATAATTGACAAATTTGCGACTTTTGTCTAAACTACTTAATATACTACCGGTATAACAATGGCACGATCCTGGATATTTCGATATCCAAGATAAACAAAATGTCTAGTAACCAACAAATGTTCTTTATTTTGATTGTATTTTTTCAATAATACGGAGTTTTTGTGGATATTTAGTTATTGTTACATCATGAATTATGTACACGTAATAAACATGAATATATCATTTTGTTACGGTTAATACTAGAAGTATCTGGCTAAAGTGTACTGCTAGATACGGGTAAATACAGTCTTCTGTGAAGTACTCGTCCAATTTGATTTCAATAATGGCTAGATATTAACAAACTTTTCATAATAAATTCACATATTGTTAATGTATCTGCGGCAGTTAATTAAAAAAATCATTCATCCATAAAATGTCGACTTAAGTGTCAATAGTCGTACTTTTCCATTTGTTTTTTTTTTTCTCTCTGGTGTTTGTTTGTATTTACAAATATTGACCGGTGGAAGGTCAGTGTTGTAAAGCACTTTCTTAGATATACATTTTTTTTTATAATTTATAAACGTAAAGTTTAAACGTCGTTTAGCGCGACAATTACGTAACAGTATATTCGAAGTCGCAACTTAGGGACGATATTACGATCATATGTAGTTGAGATACATATTTCGTTATGTGAAGACGCTCTTCAATATTTCATTAGAATACATGTCATTGTTAGACTTTCAGTACGGCATCAGGATATTTGTATAGCCTACAACCTTACCGAAACTTTCCGCGTACTTATTTCACAAGTATTTTCATTTAATATTTAATATTATCATCATGCTGATTTGTAAAAATGGCACTGTAGTGGTTAAACAATTTTTCATTTTATGATTGTTTATACACTGTTTATTATTATGAGATAAAGTGAAAAATTCCTTCTGTTTGGATTGTTTTAATGAAACAAACAATATATCAATATTCCTCTTGCTGCTTGTTTCTCTCATCCATTGAACGGACGGCAGCTCGATCCCTGTAGAAAAAGAAGAACAAATTAATTAGTATTTACAATTTTTATACTAAATTGAGGGCAGTTGTATCGTGATTAATATTTCTTTTTAATATTTGACTTCATGATCACGTGTTTAGAGTTTACTTCAGCACATCCAACCAGTCATTTAACAACAATATAAATATATAGTTCATATGCATTTCAAAATGATGCAACGATTCAGGTTGTATCTTTAACAATTGAATAAAACTTCAAAGCAGACAACTTTTTGCAGTTGACCTTGACAAAGAGTGTTAACAGAATGAAAATGACCTAACGCAAACTCCTTGTTACAATTGGCACGAAAAGGTTCTGCGCTATATTCACTGTCAGGGCCGTAACTACATTAAGGCAATGAGGCAAACGACTCGTGATGGAAATTGAAAAAAAAAATAATAAGTTTAAACAAAAGCTTGTCTTCATATCAAATTGTTTTCAAGGTGAGTGTTTGCAAGAAGCAAGTTCTGTTCACCCTTTGACGTCGCACCATGTTTCTCGGGATCCATGTTTCTCATTTATTTTTTGTTTTCAGTGTTGATTGTGTATTGTGTGTCGTTATGTGTCTTATCTGTTCCCGGGTTTGTCTCTTCTTCATTGATTGCCCTTCTTTATGACTATTCTCGTGGTGTTGAATTTCATTTGTAAATTAGTCATTTTGTTTTAAACTTGAGTTTTATTATATTTAAGGACCTTTTGTCTAATTAAAAAAACTACTTTAAATAATTGTAAAAATATTTGAAATTAGCTCTCAACTTTTTGTTCTGAGGCGGCGTTAAGCGAACACAAATCAATCAATAAATCTTTATGACTAACGCTTCAGTTGTCTAATATTCCTTTGATAATTGTATATGACAGATTATAGTGTTGATTATATTGATTTTTAATAATAGTTTGTTGCAATGTATGTCTAACTTTGTCCATATTTACACAGTCAAGCCCCAAGCCTATTTGCGATGTAGATAAGCTAACGATTATCGGGGCTTGCACAGATCCCGATTATAATTTATTTCATCTCATATATATATATCTATTCTCGTAAACTAAAGTACAATGGAGACATAAACAAATAAATTAACAAACATAAATTAATTAAAAATGTACAAATGCAAAGTAGTGACTTAGTTTTGACGGTTTGAACGGTAGGAACGCAGCCAATATGTCATTGGAGAATTGTTTAAAGACTGGTTCATGGTTCCTCCCGTAACATCCGTATGTTGTGAACGTTCATTCTTTGCTTTGCGTAGACGTAAGACTTGGGAAAGATTTACGATGACAGGTGAACGGTTGTGTGGTTTGGCAATGTTACATGGCCACCGATGTCCAGATATTGTTCGAAAAATTTTTTTGAGAAAATAAGATGCTACCGGACATAGAAAGATTGTTTTTTTTTTTCATGGAAAATTAAACGTTATATTAAAGAATACAAAACTGGCTCTCTTTTCTATAAATAAAACTAAAAAGCTGGCATGGGTTAAATTAAAGTGAGACAACCAATCTCCCGGAATCAAATCATTTAAAAAGAAAAATAATGTATTGCCATATGACCTTTCACATTGAAGGGCTAAACTTGCATTAAGCCGTGTTCAGGCCCCTGTATAGAAAATAAAGGGATATGGAGTAAATGTGCAAGGGATAAAATCGCACACAATACATAGAAAAAAAATACAAATTATCAATGAACAGGGCTTTTATTCCTGTTCTTCATCTTGACATTCGCTGGAGGGTCTTTAACAATGAACGAATCATTCATATCCTACAACAAGGTCAAGACGGCCCATAGCGTCGACTTAAGCGGTACTTAAAGTATTGTACTGTGAATAAATTTCAAAGTCACAAAAAAATTACACCAAAGTCTAAATACAATACAAGACAAGAACAGACAGATCCGACATTAATCAGCCGGTATAATATTAAAACAGCACAAAAATGTAGCAATGAGGTCTAAGAACAGTTTTCCCGAGTATACCCTGAGTGCACCCTTTTATCCCAGTTAGGAACTACATCAAGTTGTAATTGAAATGTGTTATAAAAACTGAAAAAATACCAGCAGCCACACACTAAACTTTGTGAATTACGCTTTTTGCTTTATCATACATATCGGTTTTTTGATGTCCCTAAAAACTAAAAGTCTTACACTGAATCTATATATTTAGCTTTGAAACCAGAATATTGTCGAAAAAATAATTAAAACAAAATTTGCGTTTCAGATTCAGAAAGGGTCCGGGAAACGCTCAGGATGAACAATTTTTCCAGAGCTTCTAAGGGCCTTAAGCGGCGCTCGGCGAATAAATTTTGCCTCACTTTTAAAAGAGGATAGTTACGGCCCTGACTGTGCAATATCATGTAAATTGACATACTACATTACATTCCCTGTGCATGTGTCAACACCATGGAAAGTAACACGTAAAATGTAATTACCACCATAAAAAGTTACTGTATGAATTGTTATTATCACCATGAAATGAGACAACATATTAAATTACATGCCCTGTTGTCAACACCATTTAAAGGGGGACTGTATCAAATTACATTCCCTGCTACAATGTATCAATATCATGAAAAGTTAAAGCATAAAATTATATTTCCTGTTACCGACTCCATGAAAAGGGATTGCGTAAAATTACATTCCTTGGCATCAGTACCATGAAAAGGTACTGCATAACATTCCATCCCTATTATCAAGACAACGAAAATGTATTGCATAAAATAACATGCCCTGTGATCACCCCATGAAAAAGGACTGTATAAAATTACATTCAACCTCATCAGCACAATGACAAGGGACTGTGTAATATTAAATTCCCCGGTACATATTTAGCAACATGAAAAAGGACTGCATAAAATAACATTCCCTGTCATCAGCACCATGCAAAGGAACTGTCCCTGTTACAATGTATTAAAACCATGAAAACTGACAGCATAAAATTACAAGCACTTGCATCACCAATATGAAAAGGGACTGCGTTGAATTGCATTACCTGTCATCAGCACCATGACAAATGACAGCATAAAAAGAGTCAGGGACAATCAAAAACAATAAGTTGAAGATTTACAAAAAATGCCATGGCAAAAAAGGAAAAAAAACTACGAAAAGCCAAACGCCCGTCTACAAACCACTAAACAAAAACATTCAGACTGGGCAACACGAACCAACAGAAAACCGATGGTGATCTCATATGCTCCGAGCTGTTAAAAAAGAGAGGCGAAAGATACCAAAGGGACATTCAAACTCATAAGTCGAAAATAAACTGACAACGCCATGGCTAAAAAAGAAAAAAGACCAACAGACAAACAATAGTACATAAAACACAACATTGAAAACTAAAAACCAATCAACACGAACCCCACCAAAAACTGGGGGTGATCTCAGATGCTCCGGAAGGGTAAGCAGATCCTGCTCCACATGTGGCATCCGTCGTGCCGGTAATAAGTCTAACTAGGTAGGTCACATTCGGGAAAAGGGGACGGGATTGTAGTTACGATATTAGCAACTTTACCGCTATCATCTGTTAAACGGATATTCCGTAACGGTAAACCAACTCGTGATTGCGTCCGTAAAATTTACGAAGGGATGATTTGAACTTCACCACTTGGAACTCTTGCTTTAATTGCTTCCTTGTGAGCAGCAACCCTCTATCAAGGAAATCATGATAGGAAATACAAGCCCTGGATTATCGTATCAACTGGGAGATATATACTCCGTATGCAGGCGCTGTTGGAATTTTGCTACATAAAATGGATAGTTCACAATTGGGAAACTGACATCATCTCTTTTTTCATAAAGTTTTACTTTTAACCGACCCTCATTGTCGATATCTAGATGTAAGTCAAGATATGAGGCAGGCCTAACTGTATCTGTTGTATCTTTTATCTTAAGTTCGATGGGAAAGATGCGTTCAACATAGTCACCAAATTTTGAATTATTTAGTGAGAGAATAACTCTATTAGCGGAAAGTAAAGTTAAAGGATACTACTAACTTCTTTTCTTTCTTCATGTATGACGTCAGCCTTATATGAATAAAGGAAAAAGTCTGCAAGAAGAGGGCCACAGTTGGTTCCCATGAGGACTGCCGATTGTTTGTTGAAAAATACGTCCTCCAAATTAACGTAACAAATATGTTGTCAATCAAGAAATCAAGCATCTTGATAATGTCAGTTTCAGAGAATTTTTTGTTAGAATCAGAGTGATATTTTTTACAAAGTAGGATGTATCCCTCCCTAAGACAAGATACTTGTATCTACGTTGGCCATCCTTTTTATGAAACAAAGCAGGACCAACTCTTTCGATTTGTCTTTCAGTTTAGAATGAGGAATACTTGTGTAAACTGTAGACAAGTCAAATGTTTTAAAACTGTTGCAAGATAAAAGAGTCTTAGATTTTGTATGTACTCTAAAAGATTAATTTTTTAGTATCCACATCTGATTCACGCCACCTCTAGAATAGGTAGTTTCACAATAACTTTGAAGCCCGGCTTAGATTGCTGATAAAATTGATGTTAATAATTTAGAAAGAGGTTACGCGGAGCATTTGGAAGACCCAGCAATATACCGTTGTTTGTAAGGGCACGTATGTAGTTTAGGTATCCAATACAGTCATGGAAGATCCAGTTCTTCATCTTTTGTTAAAATTCCAAAGGAACATAGAACAGACCTATGATTATCCAGGATTTCCTCTTTAGCAAGTGTCGTGGTGGTATACGTTGAGTTTCCAAGTGAATTTTCAATAACTAATTTATTTATCAAGCCGTTTATGTTATGTGATTTACACACAAAAATGATGTTGTTTGGGGGCTTTATCTGCAGGGACAACAACATATTTGTCATAGAGGTAGGACAAGTGTTAAGCAACATTTGGGTCGATAAATATTGATGTAGTATGGGTATAAATAGACCCATTCAGTTTCTTAATTCTGATTTGTATTAACGACCTCACAGCCTCAATTCATTCGGACAGGGTATCTACGTCTTCTTTCTCGCGATTGGCCCATTGCCTGACATAATCCCCGACTGCATCCATCAGTATTTTGAAGTTGTGTTTCCAATTGATGGATTTAGGCTCACGATATTTCGGGCCTTTGGATAACACATTTCGCAGAGAAGTGCTTTTGACAATGTTTAGGTCACCAGTAATAACGTGGCCAGCCGGAATATTTATGAATGGGGAACTAGCACAGGTGCAATCAGGAATTTTAGACTTGAAGTCATCAATATTGAGATACTGCAACACGTGTTTGTAATTGAAAATTTTAGTTGCAATTGGTTTGGTATATGTATAAGAAATGAAAGGTACAGACTGATCTTTAAAATAGGGAGGTATTTTCGAGTGAACTAATTTATGATGAAGGATATTGCCCAAGTTGATGGCATCGAGACCTTTGTTGGCAAAGGAAAGTTTAAGAAAGGATCATTTCTCTTTTTCATCTTTTTCAATGCGAACTGGTTTGAAAATTCTGACTTGCAATATCCAAAATGATAGCTGTAAACATATCCTGCTACATTAGAATGCAAGCCATCGCCATCTTTGATTGTGTGTAAAATAGCTGTACACAATCGGCCTAGTTTTTTGCTAAAAGACTGTTTATTAAAGTAAAGAAAAATAAGTGATTTTTTGCATTATAAAAACTGCTTTTTTTCGATTCAATTTTTCAACTTATCCAAAATTATAAAACGATGTTAATGAAATTTTCATTTCTTCGGTGACACCATTTTTACTTTTTATTTTCTCAAAGCATATTATAAAACCTACCTCCTCATATTTTATTTCAAAATTATATCTCATAGATTTCTTTTTATTCACACAAGTTTTTTTTCATGAATCATGAAATATAAAGCACGGTCACTCTTATTTTTTGTAATAGTTTTGTAAAAAGGAAAAAAAAAATAAGAAGATGTGGTATAATTGCCAATGAGACAACCTTCCACCAGAAACCAAATGACATAGAAGTTAACAGCTATAGATCACCGTACGGTCTTGAACAATGAACAAAACCCACACCACTTAGTCAGCTTTAAAAGGCCACAAAATGACAAATGTAGAACAATTCAAACGATAAAACTTACGGCCTGATTTAAAAGCATGATCAAATCTACATTTTGACAAACCGTAAGCAAATTTTATCTCAGGAAATATAAAACGATGATCCACTATTAACACCTTTCCAAAGCGAGCTTGCTAGAAGAGCGAAGAGAAGGCGGGTTGAAATATATCAGCGATTTATTGTCTAAATTATGCCATAACTTACAAGTAAGAGATTTTAATATTGAAATAAAACTGTCGTTTATAACGCTTAAGTAAGTATAAATGAGGAGTGATAGCAAACCTACCAGAGGACCAAACATTTTGGCCATAAGTAAAGCAGTAAACAAATATAGATATGAAAATGAGAATGGTCTTGTTTGATTGAAAACTTACATGTGAACACTCACAGATATATCCCATTCTTTCTATGTTGCATGGTGCATCATTCCATTCATACTCATAACCTGACGCAAAATGACCACAGTCTTCATTGTTTCCATAATTGCTCGGTTGGCCTGGATGCCACTTAGAATAACAAACCTTAGACGAGTCATGAATCCATCTGCAGTCTCCTTCTTTCTTTAAGTCTGACGCTCCAATCCAAGAGCCATGATGGTGCTTTACCGATTCTGTTTTCACCAATAATAACCATGAATAATCACATATTAAAAGTCCTAGTTTATAAAGGGGTAATTATTCATGCAAATCAAAATGAACTCACAATATAATGAGAGACATCAATAACACGACATTTTCATTTATTGTCTGCATAACAATATTTTGAAATTATACAAACGTTTTCGTAAGGTTACATTAACCACAAAATTAGGAATTATGAATTCCGTTGAATTTCAGAATTGTTTTTCGTAATTGAGTTTTGGAATTATTACAACATTGATTTCTGAACTCAATAACTCGGCTTAACAGACAAAACTTTTTAATTCATTTCTACATTTATGTGGATAAAATAATAATAATAATAATAATAATAATAATAATAATAATAATAATAATATAATATATTATCCATCCCCCATCCCAAACAACAAAAAAGACACTGAGTACAGATCTGAGATTATTCGCAGTTACTGATCATGACAGCTAGTTCAAAGCCAATAACAACTAATTAAAAAAATCATGTATCTTAGACAAAAATATCAATCAGTACACATCCAACGTTCAATGGATTTAGTGTAAAGACGTCATTATCAGTCAGAGAAAAAAATAACCATGTGCAATGCCAAAATATAGGTATCGAGAGATTGTAGTACCGTGAAAGCACATATGTTTATAACAATAATGTTTAGTATGGTTTTAATTTACTGATAACAAAATCAGTATGTATTGGTTGGTATATTTTCGAACTTAAAGAAATTTATATGAAACACACTGTAAGAAGTGGCAATGTATTTGCTGATACCGCATATTACCTTTATCCAAATAACAAGATACGATCACTCTTTCCATCAATTTTGGTTTTATTTTTGAAAAAAACAATGTACACACACTTTTTGTCTTTTTTATCATTTTTCTAATACTGTAACAGCTGTTTTGCAAAAATGTAATCGTGTCGTAGTATCTTATCATACGTATAAAATATACTTACTAGTAAGCATGTCACGAACCCACGAGTTTTCTGCTGAGTCTGTAATCTTCACAAGGTAGCCTCCCATACTTTTGCATTGATTCTGGAATGACAGAAATAGAACGTTATACCCAAGACAATAACAAAAATCGACATTATTAGTATTAAATTCTACTTCTGACTTTTCACTAAACGAGAAAATCTCATGTACTTGCATACAATTTATGAAATATTTATTATATTACAAGGCATAATTGACAGAAAAAAGAAAGATGAAAAAAAGCCTTGAAACAAAATGCCTACCATTGCACAAGAAAAACCTCTAGTAGTTATTGTAGTAACAAAATTAGAGTGATTCGTATATATATATATATATATAAATGCTCCTATATATTACCGAAAACAATCATTATTTAGCCAATAGTATTGCAAGGGTTCATTTCTTTTTATCTTTTTATTAAAATATGTCAAATTTTAGAACACACATTATGCACGTGGGACTAGGTAGTGGCACCTGAATCCAGTAGTTTCAATAGAGAAATTTTGATCCAACATCTAATAAATGATCGAATAGCTCTTGATTCAAATGAATTGACCAGTTGCAAGGAAACTTGTAAATAATTTCCTTTTTTAAGGAATAACTGTAATATTTGTTCTGTCTATGAAGAAATAACATCAAAAATGTGGTGCACACTGAATAACCCGTGTAACGGGTTATTTTAAAGTGTGCACCACATTTTTTATGTTATTTCGAATAGACAGAAAAAATATTACAGTTATTTCTTATAATTTAATTCTAAATTCCATTTTAAACCGGAGTAAACCATGAAAAAACGTTGATGACGTCACGGTCACATGACAAAATTATGTCTATGAGCTTATAAACAAAACAACGTCCGCCAATCAGAAGACGCGTTACATCCAAAATTAAATTATATAAGTTTAAATAAAAAAATGACCTACTGCAGCATTATGCCATGTTTTACTATCAGGTGAAAAAAGTAGAGTGATCTTTGTATTTCTTCCAACCGTCTAGACAATTGTTTTCATTGGCATTGCACTCACAAGAATTGTCTGTTAGAAAAAATATAATAAGTACCATACCAAGAACTGTAGCTCAATATTGAAATGAACATATGCATTATACATAGTTTAAAAAAAAATTCATAACGTTTTAGTTTCAAGAAGTATTAAAGTGATTTAGACGCACAACAACACGTTGAAAACTAAGTTAAAATACAAGTACCCTTCCCCTACCAAAACATATTAATAATAACCTTAATTAAAATAATAAAACAACATTATATCAAACTATTTTCTGTAATGATTGTCCAATTTTGTACCAAAGTGAAGCTTGATTTACTTGTGTATGTGTAATTTTGTAAAGTTTCCACAGATATAAAGCATATTTACCGTTTATCTTGTTTTCTAAGGACTCAAGTAATGACCGCATTTCAGATATCATTGTTCTCTCTTTGGATCTATTACATGTTGTTGACTCGATCATAGAAATACAACCCAGAAACACAATTACCCAGAGGAACATACTGTAATTTAAAAAAAAATCAATTATAATTAAAAAAAACAAATTAAAGTAACAAAGTGCTGAGATATAATTGGATTATCATGAACCAATAATATAACAGACAAAAGATATTTATTTGGGCAAATAAGGTCTGTTGTATACCTATACTTAATACTGTTATGAAATGGAATTATACTATTTTGAAATTTCTTATTGATTTTAAATGAATTCTTGAATTTCTATTACTTACATTAAAATATTAAGAAGTGTGCTTTATATGCAATTATAATTCATCTAAAAAAAAAATAACCGAAAATTGGCACAGAACAGTAAATTTGTCTCTTCTAGGAAGGATAGTTGGTTGGCATTAATTCAATTACTTCGGTAAAGTAATTTCTTTTTGCAGTGGCAAATATTTCATGCATTCGTAGGACGAGAACCAATTAAATTATTTTTCCAATACCAGAAAAAGGATTTAACGTCCCGCAAAGCCAAGCGGACGCCTTTCTTTAGCATGATGGGATATAACTGTCAGATTGGAGAAGTCCATGTAACCATATTTCTATACCCACGCCAATCATTTGGGTGATTTTAGACTTAAAAATTGAATTTTAACTGAATATGAACATCATGTTATTCTAAATTGTCCTATGTTTGGGATCATAAAATTTATCTTTTAGTGAAGTTTTAGCGGTTGAAAGTACTTTTGTTTTAATTTGTACGATTGTCAGACAATGACATTTTTATTTTCAATTCTGATATGATGTTCTTCTTTCGCTTTAGAAACAAAGCCATGTTCTAATTCCAATAAAAATGGGCTGCACGTGATTGACGTCACAATTGAAATTGCAACGTCAGCTGTGCTTTGAACAACGCCGGAAATCAAAATGGACATTTGTTTTGGTGTTGCTCGCTAGGAAATTAAATAAAATCATTCGAAAAGTGAGTTTAAATGTATCTGTTCATTTGCTTATCGTGAAACGGTGATTTTCTATAACGTTTTGGCTTCATCAAATCAAAACGAATGCCTTTTAAACGCGTATTATAGGTCCGCTTCGAAGTACAAAAGTCCTAAATTTTCCTATTAGAATCAAAATAATTCCATCATGCCATGCTCTATGCTAATTTTAACATGGGTAGGCATTATATTTGTCAACATTTTAAACCTGGCTAACGCTCGGTATAAAGATATTGACAAATATAATGCCTACCCATGTTAAAATGAGCATAGAGCATGGCATGAAAGAATTATTTCTTAAATAAAAATAAAGAATAGAAAATGTAGTATGTAGCCAATGAGAAAACTCTCTGCCAAAGACCAAGTGGCGTAGAAGTTAGCAACTATATGTCGCCACATAAGGCTTTCAACAATGAGAAAAACCTATACCTCACAGGAAACCATAAAAGGCCTCGAAATGCCAAACGTAAAATAATTCAAAGTAGAAAACTAATAGCGTGATGTACATACAAAACAATAAACGAAAAACAAATAAGATTTTATATAACATGTTTCAAACATAATAAAATACACATCAAGCGTATGATCTAAGTAAATACCGACACAGCAGACCAAAGCCAATTAACTAATAAAACCTCAATGCGTTGACCTTAATAGACCAATTGATAAGAGAATTACTGGCGTGAACAATGATTAGAGATATACAACTAAATATAAATAAACCTTGACCGCAGATAATTGATAGCTATTAACGACCACTCTTATAAGAACGATCACAGACACTATACCATAATTACAAAAGTAGTTATTGTTGACATAAAGCCTGTAAACGTCCAGCAGGAAGTATTTCAAGATACCCAGTCTGATATTGTTGAAGTACTGAGATATAAAACATGATAAAATAATTATTTTTATTATGCAAATATTTGGGCTTAATGGCAACACGTTATGTTACAGAAAACTTCCTTGGCGTCATTGAATAAAAAGCGATGAATGTAATCTAACTGACGCTAACATTATACTTAACTATCCGAGCAGTGTGCGCGGCACACTGTGAATGCTTGAGGATATTTTTTTTCTAGTATCATGTAATTCACTCTGTTCCGTCATATTGTAAATCAAGAACAAAACAAATTACATGCTACCTATAGTTGACACAAAGCACACAGTATGTACATAAAATGATAGTGTGTTCTCAGATAATTAAGGATAATTTGCCGCTAAAATACTGTGCCTGAGCTAGCCACATCTATTTGACAGAAATGCGTCACCATAGGGGTATTTGCATACACGTGTGTGTACGTCTACCAGTCTACTTGTCTCAGAGTACTTTAGCAAGCCGTTCCTGAGCGGTAAAGCCTTACTTGATTTTCCACGTGGTACCGCATAAGAGTAAATCTTTGTGGGCATAGACCGACGTGAAATAGAGCTGTTGAGCAATCAAGATGAGACTATTCCTCGTTAAGTTACGTAGGCACCCTAACTACTCAGAAAATGTTCATAAATGTCTGGCCTTAACATTTATAATAGTAACATAACGTGAACCATAAAGGCACAACATCTTCGTAAAAATTCGGCGGTGTTGGGGCGGCTGGAGGGTTGATTTGAATATTGCACTGCTACTGCTACTACATTGTAACTAATTAATGCAACTGACTGAATAAGCCTGACAAATATTGAAAATTAACACGTGCACCAAGTTCATGAGACGGTTAAGAAAACATTGCCGTCTCTACCACAGACATCATAAATCTAGTAATAAAATGTGTATTGTCCACCTAAATAAATAATGGATTTTGACAGAAGCCGAGTCGGACAGAACATGAAACACTAATATAAACATCAATTAAAAATTTCTAAATACAGCACCAAACGACAAGCATATGCCAAAACCTTAAAGAAAGCGATAAGAATTTTTATACTTCTAAAAGGTATACATATATAGCAATTAAAAAAAAATGTTTTGTGCATGTTTTATCAGAAAAAATATTGTATCGCCTGTCATAAATCTACGTTGATTGGCCTGTGTATTTGTATCTTTTATTACGAACAGAACCGATTGTATGGTTTATTTGTGAAGGGCTGTTTATCGGGTCGCATAGAAATACATGTACCAAGCAACCATTGAGTCGGTTACATACATCACAATTAACCATTTATAGGTTCGCTCTTTGCGTGCATAGAGTGTGGTATTAATAAATGAATTTTCATATGCATAATTAAAAGCAACTTCTTTTGGGTAAAATACACATATTATGCAAACGAATATGAAAGTACAGATATAAATTTTATGGTTGTATGTTCTAATTTCTGGACATTATTCTTAATTGATTATTAAAAAAAATATGAATAAGTACTATGTGAAAAATTTATAGCATACCTTATTAGCATATATGATCTAAACAAAACTGCTCCTGAATATTTGACTATGAAATAGAAACAAAGCAACCTGTTCGTGTTTAACTGTCTTTGATCCACATGTGACCATAATGTATTACGGTTATATAATGTAATGCATGTATATCAAAATCCGATATAATTATCCTATTTTTTTTTTCTGTTTTTTTTTTTTTTACTTTGCTTGCTTTTTCTTTCTTTCTTTTCTTATTTTGTTATTTTATAATTAACTCTTTTTAACTTCGATGTTAAGTTAAAGAAGTAGAGTCAATTTTCACCATTTTTCAATCTTTAATTAAATATGCAGTTTCATAACTCCATATGTGAACTTTGAGATGTTTACAATATTATACAATTACTGTCTTTTGATGAGGTAAATATGCGGTCTTATTGACTTTTGAAAATCTGATATTCACTGAAGCCGACGGCCGAAGTGAATATCAGTTTTTCAAAGGTCAATTAAACCACATATTTACCGAAACAAAAGACAGTGATTGTTTTATTCCATGATATTCCGAGAGAAAACAATGCAATAAATGACAAATATTTACCAAACCCAATTGTACATCAAACAGTTTACCAAAACGTTACATGTAAAAGCGCGTGACGTTTAGCGCGGTGAATATCACTTTCCTCCAGGTGAATATGCTTGTTTATTCAAAATTCAATTCATATAGAGAAACCTACTTAAATTATACCAATATGGAATAATTTTCTATATTTGAATTCTTCGATTAGTTATTCTATAAATATTGTCTTTTGGGCACACATTATTTCATTTCATTAGCTAATTCCTTCAATTCACTAGTAAAATTTACAATTTTGTATCAAAATGCTTTCAACAGCAACATGAAGCACTTAATAAAGCTTTTATTTCATGTGAAACTGTTGAAATAAGTATGTTTAAACTTTTAAATATAAATGATATTAAACTTTTTAATATTCAGAAGTAAATTATAATAGTTATTTTGACCGGGTTGAAAGAATTCCCAAACCGGTTTATAGTTTGGTGATGTAGGGCGGGTGAATGGTCGGGCGGATGAATGGGCGGGTGGATGGGCAGCCGGCCGGTGAAAAGTGGGTACCTAATTTGTGTAATTAACTCATTTTACAGTTTTCAACCCAGATCTACCAGAAAATTCACAGGTAGATTGCACAGGAAGTTGTGCACCTGCTATTATGAAATTGTTTGAGGAAGTTTTTCTCATTTTCCAGAATTGGGAACGTAGTCTTTTTTCCGCAAAATTTATGAAAGAGGGTACAAGTTTTTTGTAATCAACTCCTCCTACAGTTTTCAGCCCAGATCCCTGTAACTTTGCAGATAGAATGCATATATGTTAACGTTGTGCACCTAGGCCTGCTATAATGGCATTGTTTGACAGAGGAATTGTTGCTCATTTTTCAAGACTTGGAACTTAGTCACTTTTTAAGTATTTAAATGTTCAGTAAAGAGCATTCTCGGTTTTAAGAAACAGTCTGCCCCACCCGGTCATTTGAGTCTTTGAATCTATACTATTAAACGAGAAGACCTCATTTTGTGTGTCGCTTCTCTTCCTTTCCCAATAAATTAATCATCATGCCTCTGTGTCCTATAGGTACCATGCATAGTCGCATTTGTCATCCATTCTTATGATTATTCAGTTTGAGTTATTTTGGGAGAAAAACAAAGAAAAAGGCGTCCGGATATTGTTTCCGTCATCAGAACGACTTTTAAATCATACTCAAAACTTCCGATTTTAGGGAGCTACCATTTGATATTTATGGGGGGGGGGGGGGGAGGGCCTAGGTTGAAAAATTTTGTCCTGCCTTTTTATTTTTCCCTCTATTCGGTCCTGACTTTTTTTTTTAGTTTATCCTGACTTTTGTTTTTACATAAATTGTCATCCTGCCTTTTTTTTGCAAATAATCTCATCCTGCCTTTTTTTTTTCTCAAAACTCCTGTCCTGCATATTTTTTTCAAATTTTATCCTAGCCCCCCATAAAAATCAAATTGTAGCTCCCTTAAACTTTAAAAAAGGGGGTAAAGGGTTATTTTCGTGCAACGTGTTTTGCCACTTTTTATTTCACGTGCAGCCGTGAAAAAGGTTCGTTATTCACCGTGTTTCTTGTATAGATAAAAAGAACAACGTGCAAGAAATTTTTAATTGTTCGCTCATCGTGAAGTGGCAATTTCATTTCGCGTTCTTCCGTGCAGATACCCCCCCCCCCCCCCCCATCTTTACTCCCCTCTTTAAACATAATTTTCATAATTACTCGGGGACAGGACATTTATTTTCGCGTTATTCTGCATGTATACTATGATTATAATCCTATAATATATAGAGACTCTCTATATAATATAGCAGTGGTCGCCGTGGAAAAGAAACTTGGAATTGATAGTTAATAGCAAATTATTAATACAGTTTATTTATATTATATGTATGTTCATAGTATACAGAAACGCCAAAATCATGGAATTTAACAGAGAGCAAAAAAACAAAGGACTTTGGAAAAAAAGGGAGAGGGCTTAAAATAATTGTCCTGTCTCCAAGTGCCTATGACTCAGTTTGATACCTTTTCTAAAATTCTCCAGACATAAAATCTTTTACAAAAATTCATCCTACAACAGTTTACATACTTTCAACCAAGCTCTAAATACCCGCGATTTCGCGGGTGTGTTCTAGTTATTTTTAATATTCAGACTTCAGTAGAGTTCAACAACTTTTAGATTTTGTACCTGTAGTGGTTAGTTTTATAAACGTGCGTTTCGCTATATATTGCACTATCCAAGCATTTACCTTGGAGTAAACGTCCCAATTTCTACCAGACGTTAGAAGAGGTTGGTGCGTACGTAAAACTGGACGAATCCCACTACATTTTGTACCAGTACCAAATTAGGTTATCCAGACCATTGTGTTGTTTGTTGTTGTTCGTCTTTATTTGTATATCTAATTTTCTGAAGAGTAAAGTGTTGGTGGTCTGGTGTATTATGGGATATGTTTGTGTTTTGTGTTATCTATTTTATGTACACAACGAATAGATATAGAAATCAGCACTTCAAGGCAGGTGTCTTTATCAAGCTCTCAGTAACGAAATGTGAATATTATAAAATTGACCGAAAATAACAATATCTGTAATATTAAAACTTAAAGTAATCTGACTAGAATACAGATCATCTGCCGACGCTTCGCTTAACAAGGATCTGAAAACGCTCCATTCTACTTTTTGTTTTAAGGATGTTTGCTACTCTTGTTTTTGACTTTTTTGTCAGATATTCGGAATCCTCTAGTTTTATCCATGTATTGCCAATAAAAAAAATTCCCGCTAACCCCTACTTTTCTGTTCATAATTTTAATACATGTAGTTTGACAAGCCATTTATGAAAATCTTATAAAATCCTTGTTATTTTTTCATAGTTTTTGAAAGAAAAAAGGTGCCAATGTTAAATGTATGAAAAATCTAGAGAGAATCATTTCCCGCCAAATTTTCAATTGATTATATCTCGAAAACAAGGTCACGGACCTATCATTTTTTTCTGCTTTTTAATTTCTGTTATTTATATACTATCAATTTATAACAATCATTTAAAAATCTTGTTATTTTTAAACAGAGGAGCGAACATCCTTAAAGACCTTTTGGGGTCCAAATGTTTTATTGTAATGCTACAAACCTTCAAAAATTTGGAGGCAAAAATGTCATTGGTTGATTTAAGAATTGAATGCTTATTTTTGTAAATTTATTGGGTTGTAAAAGCGTTGACCGAAGTACTTTTGTGTGAAGCGCTGAAGCGAAAGCGCTTCATTCTAAAAATGTGCCCACGGTCAACGCTTTTACAACCCTATAAAATTACTAAAAGAAGCATTCAATACTTATAACTACATTTTTTGGCTAGGATCATGAAAACACGATTTCTATCAAGTTTTTTCTTTTATTTACCTGTGCACTTTATTGTTGAAGCTCGTGTCATCATGAATATTACATTTCATTTTCATAACGTATTATAATGAAACATACATGTAATGTAATTATATCAAATTAAACAGAACAGAAAGTAGGACGGAGTGTTGTCAGATCCTTGTAAGGGAAGCGTGGACACCTTGTAATGTATAATTTGCTAACGGGACCGTCTGCTTCAACCAACAAAAAAAAACAAAAAAACGGTTAAAAAAGAGATTCTGATTCTAAAAAGTTTTCAATAATTCTAACTTAGAGAAGCAGTTGCAGATACAATGTGAGTATTCTCCTGATAATGCAAGAAAAATTATTTGCTACGGGGAACCCAATCAATAATTCAGATAAAAAAAAATTTAGGCGGTGCACAATTACATTATATGGTAAAAATTCTGGGACATTTTCACAAAAATCAATCATGATGTTTGGTTAAAGAGGTAGAAACAAAATTAGGACGGATGGACGAATGAACAAATGGACGGGCAAACGAGCGGATGAACACCCATATCACTTTATGCATATATTGCCCGCTTGAAAAGAGGGGTATAATAATGCCATTTATCGCTTTTCTTTGTTTTGTTTTTTTTAAGGGAAAATTTTCTTCTCCAGCTTCTTGAGTTGCTACCGTCAATTTTTTTCTTCGTACGTATTTCAATTAAACGGCTTATGGACAATGAATGGTACAAGAACATTGCAAGTTTTAAATATATATCAAGTTATTGAGATATTAAGAGTATATACATATATATATATATGTTATACTTTTTACAAAACTGAACCAAGTTCTCTCTATTATAAATGTCAGAAATATCCTCAGATACTACCCATCCCAATTATCAGTTCGCATAGAATTAATGTTGTATTTGTATGTTTAGCAATATATGGACAAAGCTTTGCTTGAAAAACTTTTTTGCATGGGAAAACCAAAACACCTACTTTTACTAAAGATTCAGATGTATTATAATTAATTATAGAAGATACGGTAAATATGTATCAATGATTAAGTGCAGTAAACAGCATGCGTGAATGATTAATTACAGTAACCAACATACGTCAATGATTCAGTACAGTAACCAGCATGCGTCAATGATTTAGTACAGTAACCAACATGCTTCAATGATTTAGTACAGTGTAACCAACATACGTCAATGATTTAGTACAGTAACCAACATGCATCAACAATTTAGCACAGTAACCAAAATGCGTCAATGATTTAGTACAGTTACCAACATGCGTCAATGATTTAGTACAGTAACCAACCTGCATTAATGATTTAGTTCAGTAATCAACATGCGTCAATGATTTAGTACAGTAACCAAAATGCGTAAATGATTTAGTACAGTAACCAACATGCGTCAATGATTTAGTACAGTAACCAACATGCGTCAATGATTTAGTACAGTTACCAACATGCGTCAATGATTTAGTACAGTTACCAACATGCGTCAATGATTTAGTACAGTAACCAACCTGCATTAATGATTTAGTTCAGTAATCAACATGCGTCAATGATTTAGTACAGTAACCAAAATGCGTAAATGATTTAGTACAGTAACCAACATGCGTCAATGATTTAGTACAGTAACCAACATGCGTCAATGATTTAGTACAGTAACCAACCTGCATTAATGATTTAGTTCAGTAATCAACATGCGTCAATGATTTAGTGCTAGGGTCAAGCTAGCAGCCACTCGTCAATGATTTAATACAGTAACCAATATGCGCCATGTGCAATGATTTAGTATAGTAACCAACATACGTCAATGATTTAGTACAATAACCAACATGCGTCAATGATTTAGTTCAGTGACCAATATACGTCATGTGCAATGATTTAGCACAGTAACCAATATGCGTCATGTGCAATGATTTAGTACAGTAACCAACATACGTCAATGATTTAGTACAGTTACCAACATACGTCAATGATTTACTACAGTTACCAACTTACGTCAATGATTTAGTTCAGTGACCAATATGTATTAATGATTTTAAGGTGAACAGAATAAATGGTCGTAAGAAAGACATATGCAGGAGTAGGTATATAAGTAACTGTTCTTATCTCCAATTAACTGCATCAAAAAATTCATTTTCTTACTCTAGAAACATCTTTATGTATTCTTTCGTGTTGCGGCTTAAACTGCAGCATGCAGAGACCTTCATATGGAGATGGCAAAATCCAATGTGTACCAAAAATGATTTTTTTCAATTCCTCAAAAAATGAAGTTTGCAGAAAGTTTCAACTATTATTTTACCCACCTATCATTTCACAAATTGCTTTGAAAAAAAACACGAAAAATATATTTATTTACTAATAGGAAAAAACAATTATTATTATCGAGTTTGAGTTCGTTATAGACCTGAATGTGTGGTTACAATTGTCGTGACGTGTTTCTACGGTAAATTGAAAGATGATTTCCAACTTAATGGTTATATTCTATTAATATTACACACAAAAGCAGAGATGCAATTTTACCAAATTAGGGATATGTGGGTTAAAATCATAAAAAATAAAGAGCATAAAACGCCACACAGAAAAACAACGATTTTAAACTTAAACTGTGGGTAAATTTAAATTGAGGTGCTCAAGAAGGTCAATTAGTTTCCGCTTTAATAATGGAACCCGTTGAGTGTCGATGGAAAGTTAAATCTTGTAGCGTGGCCACAACAAATGGAATATTTTTTACACCAATATTCCACGTCGGTCAATCAATCATGATGGTGAATGTAAACCTTTTGATGACAGAGATAACATTAAATTTAACTCAGTTATGACAACGTTCACCCGAAGGAATAATTCAATGGTATTTTTAATCGCAATGTAGAATTACGTGATTAGTTTCTGCTTCCGAATAATTAATCAAAATATGTGGTGTCCCTTGTTCTAAAAATATACCGATGTAAATCTTTCGAAAACACGAAAGCGCTCAAAGAGAATATATATATATAAATATGTATAGCTGAATAAAGAAGAAAGTCTTGAGACTTACAGGTTGAGTCCACAAAATAAGTATATATCTATTACAACCCAAACGGTTCATAATATCTTTCTTTTACATTTGGTTACTTCGGTTATCCTGTTGGATTTCTCTTTCCAGTTTTGTTTCACATTTTGTTTTCTTATTTTTCATTACGGCATGTCTTGAGGTGCGTCTCTTTGTTTTTTATCTGAAATGTTGGTAATACGGTGACCCGCAATGTTATTGTTCTCGTCCTTTGGTATGCAATGTATGTATTTTCAGTGAGCGAGATTTGCAGTCGCGGTATACATCTTAGTAAAGATGACTGACACAAAGGAATTTCAAGTGAAACAAGTAGAAGATACAGTGAGTTATCCTTAGCCGGATACTAGAGTCAATTTAAAAAACAAGCTATTTCTTCGAATATATTCTTTTGACATAGTTTAAAACTACATTATTCATTCTTTTGTTTCAGAATGTTTTATGGACTAAAAAACATGAACACGCACCATGAAACTTATACTATGATATAATTTAATTTTATATACAATTGGTACAATTAAATACAGATTTAGCACTATTATTTTCATGTCAATAGAACAATCGACCGGAGGAAGATTTCAGTCGTTTTTGGCCAGCATACCATGATTTAGATTTGGACCGGAAATGACGCAAATCGTCTTTGTGATCTTTGCTCAACATTGGAACGTAATCCATTGGAGTACATAATGTCTTATAACTTCCATAAAAATCTTTGTATCCTCCCTTTAGAATATAAAGTTCAGGAAAATACAGGGAAGGATAATTTTCAGCATTTAATTCTCTGTCATGATTACGGAGAAAGCGGCACATTTTTGGTCCTCTCTCGGAAGAAAACTCACAATGGAAAATAATTATGTCACGCTTTCCATCTGAGCGGGATGTATTTGGATTTTTTAATAGTTCTAAAATATCGTCCTTGTTATGAATATTTTCAGCGCCTCGTATGTGACCACCTTCAAACTCATACGAGTATCTACTGTCAATTATACGAAAGCTGCCAATTGTATGCTCGTATTTCCCGTTTAAAACATCATTCATGGTGGCTGGAGTTATGTATCTTAGGTCATGACAGTGCCCCTGAACGGTTTGTAAACAACATACTTCTTTTCCATCTCCAGTGAGTACGGCGGCTTGAACTAAGACGTCTTCTGTTTTAATGTCATTGTGCTTGCTGGCGTCAGTTGACAAGTCTTTACTGGTACTGAGAATCTGAGCATCGAAAGACAAAGATTTTTTCAGTAAAAGTTTTTGAGATCTGATGTATCTTTTCTTGCTGTAAGATACAGGAGTATCAGAGTCAGTATTAGTGTCTAATTTGTCGGCTCTTTTTCTCTTTGAGCTAAGTTCTGAATTGAACAGACTCAGTGTCGGTGAATCGTCAAATGCATTAAAGTCCATACCAAGTCCGGAATCTTCGTCGAACAAGCTTTTTATAAAGTCTGGAGTTCTTGGAACTTTGTGGTGACAGTTATCTCCGGTTAAACAATCCATCTCATTTACTGAAATAAAGAAAAACAATAAATATTTTTTTTCTACAATTGAATAGGTTTTATTTACTTGTAGGTGGCCTGAACAATCAATGTAAAAATACGAACTAGTTTCATATTTTTCATGTCGGGGCCTTTTATAGCCGACTATACGGTATGGGTTTTTCTCATTGTTGTATGCCGTACGGTTTCCTATAATTGCTTACATCCACTTCATTTTAACTTTGATGGATAGTTGTCTCATTGGCAATCATACCACATCTCCGTTTTTATAGTTAGTAGTTTTAATGGGGAAATCTCTTCATACGATCCTCAATGGAACAGTTTGTGATTGAATTTTATTTTAAGTGTAATTATAAATGCTTTTGTTGAGTTCAAACACATTGATTGATTGATTGATTGATTGATTGATTGGTGTTTAACGCCACTTTCAACACTATTGTGCTATTTCGTGGCGGTCAGTTGTTATTGGTGGAGTAAGCCGGAGTGCCCGGAGAGAACCAGAGTTCAAACACATATTGCAACTCAAACAATGCACGTCGTCTTTTTTTTACATTTAATTTTCGTTTCAAGTAATTTACTTCAGTTAGCCTTTTGGATTTCTCTTTCTAGTTTTATTTCAGATTTCCTTTTTTCAGTATTACATGTCTTGCGGTGCGTCTTGGTATTTTTTTATATCGTGGTTGATGGTATGGTAAAACGGTGACCTGCAATGTTATAGTTTTCGTCTTAGTTCAGTTAAAGTTGTGTTGCTGTGTATATGGAAATATACGGTGTGCAAGTAGAAAAGCGTTAATATGAAAATGAAAGTGTTGTGTTATATCAACGAAGCTTTTTTTCATCGATGAATGTTTCTCGATTGCGTCGTTGCAGATACTGTACAAAAAAAAGTCATGCTTAATAATAAATAATATTATTATTACCAGAGACATATATAGTACCTTATATTTAAATAAACTTAAAAATATTTGAATTGATTATCATTGTTTAATAAGTAAACTTACTTTTTTCGAACATTTTAATTGTGACCAGACAGTATTAGTAATGACAGATGTCAGACAGAAAATGACTACAAATTGTAATCGCCAACTATTTATATTCTGAGCCGAAAATAATCATATTCTTCATCTCAATTACATCTTAACATTTGTAATACCTTTTATTAGATATAATTATGATTAATTATATTGTATATTCCATTGTCATACAGGTAGATTTGTGTGATACCAAGAAATAACCGAAATAATGTTGTAAAATATTGTAAACGAACGGTAAATCACATAATTGACGTCTGCAGGGTGTACATTTCAAGATGCTTCACCTTAAAATGTCTTTAAAGTTAATCTTTTAAATATTAGAACCATAGGGTTAGGAAATTTGTATCTACAAATATCATAAAAGTCAGTTATCTGCGATAATCTGTTTTATTTATATTGTGTTTAATGATTGGATCTCTGAAATCTTTAACTTTAAGATTAATATCTACCTAAGATTAGTCATTAACTTCAAGGTAGCAAGAGTATATTTGCATCGAGTCTTAAAAACTTTTGTCTTTACGAGGTAGTTGCATTCAGTCTAAGAATATAAGATGAATTTAAGATGTGTAATGTCATACAATTGTGCAGATGTAAAAATGTCATTATACAAAGTGGATGTAAGAGAAAAGACATTACAATGGAAAAAAACAACAGGAATAACAATAATCATAATTATGATTAATATAATTATTTTAGCAGTTATCATAAAATTCTGCCCCTTTTCAAATGTATAAATTTATATCAATACTTTTTCGTGTTCGATTATAATAAAAATAAGGAGATGTGGTATGATTGCCAATGAGACAACTATTCACCAAAGTTCAAATGAAGTGGATGTAAGCAATTATAGTTAACCGTACGGTCTTCAACAATGAGAGAAACCCATACCGTATAGTCTGCTAAAAAGGCCCCCACATGAAAAATATGGAGAAAAAAAATGGTTTTAAAAGAAAATTTATTGATAAAACTTACTTTGTGAAAAATTGATAATAACGAATAAAATTTCCCGTCTTTCTTTAAAAACTTGCTTTTCTCGTACATGAATTGATTTCTTCTATTTCAATTCTCTATGAACAAATGATAAAATATTAGAAAATTCTGCAATATTTATAATATTTCAAATGCCAAATTATAAAAGGTGAGAAAATAAAAAAGACAAGTACTTAACGAGTTGTAAGTATTTTACTTAATAGGTACTTGGTATTGTTAAGAGCAGACACATGCAATTTCGATGTTGTTTTAGTCAAGTTAATTGTTACTACATGTGTGTTAATTACGATTAGGGAGTAAGTTCTTCTACTCTCTGCCCATTATTCAAGTAATTTTAATTTGTTTATTTTTTCAACATTTTTGAAAATTTCATAAAAATAATTCAATATCGTTAATTACACAAAATCATTTTGAAAGCATAATTATTTTAAATGGAAACGATTAGTTTACGGAGGGATTTAAAAAAAAGTAAATATAAAACCCTAAATTTTACAAGGCTTGTGTGTTAGGGAGGAATTTCCCAAAATTCGTGTTTTTCTGAAATTCTCTTAATAAATACTTAATTGATCATTTGAGGGACGTGAATGAAAGAAGAAATGGCATTAATCTGCAACTTTATTACAGCTTGTCCGAGACAGCCCTGACGTCTGACGGTATTTCTTAGGACTTGCAGGGGCCGTGAGGACGCGAGAGCAATAGCGGACTATACATTACAACTGTGATATGGTCAGAATAATACTTAAGTGTCACACCATTTGAAAAAAACTCTGGATTTTTATTTTTCTCTGAAATGTATTTGAGAAAAAGAACAGTATACTTAGTTATACCGTATTAATTAATGTATTTTGAGGCACTAGCGATATTTTGTAACATTGTCCCTCAGCGTACTCGTGCAATAGTTTGAAAATATTTAAATTATGTACCCATACATAAGTATTCTTCATTCTAGGCTTTGAAAGAAGAGGTTGATAAAATATTTAAGTTTTGTTTCATACAAACAAATGGCAATCGCAAGTACTAATATCTTTTCTTAGCAAGGCAGACATTATACTTTGCAAAAATAAAATTCTGATTTAAATAAAATGTTTTCTGAAACAGACACCATCAAAATGCTCGTTTATTATTGGACAACATATTGGTAACGTTCGAAGAGCGTGTTATTCAACAATCAAATGTTTTTCGATACTAGGCGTGCTCTTTTTCATGCAGCGGTGTTTTTATGCTTATTATGAGAAACACTTCATTGAGGACCTTTTCAAGTACAATTAAGTGAAGCTGACATTGACCTTTATTCTACACGATCCGCTAAATACATGTAGATGATGTCATTTCATCGAATAATTCATTGTAAAGTGAATAAATTTGTTGTCTATCCCATTGACTTGAAATAAACGACACCATATATACATTTGATATGAAAATAAGAAGATATGGTATGCTGGACATTGAGACAATTCTCCACTAAAGAACAAATGACGTAGATTGTTCGCAACGATAGGACACCGTACGTCCTTCAACAAAGAGCAAAATTAAACCCATACCGCATAGCAACCCTCCCCTAACCAGAGGCAGTGGGGTAACAGCACAATATACAAAAACCAATAACGAGTATAATCAAAGTACTGAAGTACTGAACATCGGATGACCACAAGTTCTTGAGGATGGTCAAAAGCACTTGTCTCAGAAAAAAACAACATATCTCTTTACCTAAAACTGAGGTTAATGTACAGAGATATATTTTTTTCTGAGACAAGTTCGTGCGTGGATGATGAATAAATGACAGGAAATTCAACTTCACCGTAATAACTATTATATTGTAGTGATACAAATCAGTATACACTGAGTTGTTGTTTATATTATATTAAAATAACAGTTACATATATATATATGATTTGAATCCATTTGTATATCATTCTATTCTACTATTCTAAAAATAGTGCAATGCAAGTGCTTGGTGGACACTTTTCTGTAAAAATTCGATTTTTCTAAGATTGGATACGAGTAGGCATTCATATTTTCCCGCAAAATCAATTACAGAGTTACCGGTCCTTGACGGTATTTTCACAAAACGTTCTTTGAGATATTCTTCCGCATGCTTTAACACAATTTTTCGGTACGTGTGCATTGATATTATCAATGATTTTTTACTTATATATATATATCTAACTACAAAACATTTTCATATTATTAATTTATGTTGTAAACAAAAATATTTTTATCAGTATTCATTGAAGAGATGTATTTATATCAAACGATAAGGAATGTTATTTTGCACTCGTTTATGTGCGCGTATTTATCATGTTTATAGATCGGTTACAAACCCAAAACTAATTTACATAATGGAAATCTAGGCGATAGCAATACATCGGGATGACCTCAAGGTCATCGCGATGTAAAAATCAGTTGAAAAGCGATTAACTCATCATATTTAATGTCTGCTCCATATATATGACTTAAATCTACAAGTTGACAATTATAGGGTCAGTTGGGAATTAAACTTTACAACAAAATAGTTAATTTTTCGATGAGTATCTATAAAATGTCTTTTAAAGTTCCAACACATTTGTGTTACTAGTTTCGGATTTTTTTTGGTATGAAAATTAATAATGTTCATAGTACAGTATTCAATAATAATAAAAAAAAACCATCATATTTATCACTGGGCTCTATTTCCCTTTGGTGTATTCTAATTTACTTGGGGTCTTTATCCGTGAATTGAATATGCATGAAGTCTTTGTCACTGGACATTTAAGCAAACAATAATCGAAACTTCTCCGTTGATTTGATAATGGGGAAAAGTCAACCAAAAAAGCTTTCTATACAATTGTTTTACATAAAAGGGAAGATTTTAGTAGTTGATTGTTGATTTTATTCATGCTTAACGTCCAGTGGAAACTATTTCTTCCATAATCAGAACGAGAATACAATTAAACTATACATAGACAAATAAATCCTGCATAGTGG